GAGAAAAGTCACACTTGACTTGGGAAATAAATTGGTGAACCAGTAGAATTCACGGATACAAAGAAATATCGTGAATAATAGTTAATGATCCCTGAAGGCTACCTGCCTGAGAAGAAGCAAACCCAGCCTACGAGTTTGGAACAAGTCATTTTATACTTTCATTGCACATCATGCACTCATCGTAGAGTCCATCCCAATAAGTACTACCTACAACGTGCATATGTACTGAGGGCAATATTATTCCGTCAAAAATATCGCATCTCCAAGGAAATCCCTCCACCTGCTGTGTTTCTGTTCATAAAAGGTTTAAAATCTGCTTTCCAAATACGACGACTACGAGAGAGTCGAGAGATGCTATCAAATAATATTTCTGAACTGACAAATCCTCACAACACCGGCCCCATCTTCATCTTTGAATGGGAATCCTTTTCTCTATTTCAAACTTTAACCCTTCCTTCCATCCGTTAGATTAAGAAAAGTTTCCCCAAGTATTGCTTTAGCGCATGCATTACCACACTGTATTCATTCGAGAAATGAAGTAAGTAAAAAGGAGGTTTTACTTACAGACTCAAGAATATATACCTTTAAAAGTTATCATGTTGCAAAATGTCCTACAAATAAGCTCATGGACAAAGAAATTTCTAATAAAATTCGACAAACTGATAGAAATAGTTGGAGTTTTATTCAAAATAACACATAAACTTAATAATAAGCTAAACTTTCCCATTGTGCATTTGTGTTGATCAATGTTTCCGTCACCATCTGTGAAACGGATAGGTCAGCCTTTTAAGATTCGTCCTGAGAGGGAGGGCTCTCCTTTTAGACATGGATGAGTAATTCGGAGGGATGAATCTGTCATTAAAACTTTTCCATCAATTTTGCCATTTGTTGTCCACCCAATTGTCAACGTCAACGTCAATTCGTTTTCTTGTTCCTGGACCATGAATGAATGAATGACAGGAGCGTATTGTTCCTCACAATGCTACTCGAGTCACGCTGATAAATGCATAATGCGAAGGAAAGAAAAGTAGGTCCACCAATCCATCCGGCAACTGATTGACTTATGACTTGCATGCAACACACAGAAAAGTTGAGATGTTGAGGAGGAGAAAGAGAGAAAAGTAACAGATCCTTCACTTCAGAGTGTCACCATCAGAAAAGACTCCCACGACGACTTCTTTAACTCGTGCATGCATAATACCTCTCTTCCTTCCTGCCAACTCAATTTGTGAGCATAGAAATGGAGTGGATTTGAGTGGAACACAAATTCATTCGCATAATAACAAGCCATGCATATCCAGCTTTCCTGGAATAAAATAACCAGCGTGGACCTTTTGAACAGCATTGTGTGACCTTATAAATTGGATGCAATGCATAACCTGTTGCGAAGCATTGTGCATGAAGTGATTTTTCGATCGACTTGATTTTACTTGCTTGTTACTTTTACCTCCCACGCGTTTTACAATAATGATAACGAAATTGATTTCTTGTTTACACAAGCGAATAAATAGCTGAGGATATGTTATGTAGGTACATACCTTAAATGATGATGCAAATATGTGTGTATGAATGCAACTTCTCTTCAAATTCACTGCGATACTTGTGTTAAAAGCTGAGAGAATGACTTCATTCGCGCATTCATTAAGAAAAATTGATAACTTTTATTTGAAAATAAAAGTCAGCAATAATTTAAAATAGATTTAAATTCGGAATTTCTGTGGGTGAACACTGTGAATGTATTTAGATGCTGAGTACGAGAAGAAGACCTCTCAGATACAGCTATTAAAGAATGAGTATGGTTATTGTAATTTAAAACTCAAATTCTACTATACTGCGTAATCTAATACTTTAGGTAGACTTTGTATGCAAGGGTGAAATTAAAGATGCCAACATTCAACAGTTGGTTATTTTCATCGTCGTTTCATCTATGCAAAGAATGAGGAGACGACATTCAACAGAACTCTGCAGATGAACAGCATTATTGAATAGTACGGTGAAGTTGGATCGTAACTTTTAATGTGTTTTTCATGAAATGGTCCATCAAATCTGAGCTTTCGTTGTGGGTGGGAATTTTTCATGGATGTCCATTCTCATCCACAAATGTATCAAATGAAACGACCCGTCTGGGTGACTTTTACTCGCAACACGTATTCAACATTTTCTCTACTCTGCAAACTATACGTCCCAAACGTGACACGTTGACAATGTCGAACAGTGGGACATGGGGACATTTTTATCAAAAATATGCATTCCAAGAAAAGTTTGTCTCCTCACATATATAGTTTAAATACGTGCTGTTTTTCTGCATTCCTAGTGTTTTCTACAAATGTGACACAATTTCATGATGTTAAACCAATTTTACACTTACCCCTGTTTAAATATGTACGCATTGGTTTTAATAGGTGTAGAGGACTAGTGATGGAATAATCGTCGGCAACTGGAGAGGGTTTTACACCTCAGTCAGCAAAGATTAATTAGTCCATGGGCGTCAGTCGTCTCGCCAGTGCCACGCCAACTTATTTAGTGCTGAATGGCAATTAAACTTTGAACAATGGCAAAGCAAACAGACATTTATGATCTTGCTTCTCAAATCATGACCGTGCTCCTTTTTGAATCTCAAGTACCTATGTGCCCAAAGTCAAAACTGCTAAATTTGGAAGACTTGTGCGCAGGCTAATGGAGTGGAAGGATCAACGGTAAAACCAATGAATAAGACATAAATTATTGTTGTGAAACGAGACGACCACACCGACCAAGTGCACTTTCGTCGTTACCCAATCACCAATAGGATTTGGAATAATTTCTGTCAAATCCTAAAAGCTCATAAATAATGAAGACATTTACAATTAGTGGGAGCAACAAGAGACAAATGGAGATCAAATATTTTCCCAAAAACGTATAAAACAACGTAAAAATAGCATAACCTTAGTGTTTAAAATTTGAAAAAAGTTCCAAAAAGCTTAGTTTGTATAATTACAGATAACCATGAAATTTGTCAAATATGTAACTTACCAAAGCCTTTTTAATCAAATGTTGTAATCCCCCAGTCGATCCCATCATGTATTCCAACAATTCATTAAAACTTTCATATACACTGCTTGAATTGAAGACTATGATATCGTCAACAATGAATCGGAATATCAAAATCACTTATGTATTAGCACTTTTCCATAGCTAGGTCACCTACACTTGAGTGCCAAAATACCCTCCAAAAATTATGGTTGTTTTAAATTGGTTTTACAATATTAAACTCTGCATTTCAGCTTTTTAAATGCTACCATCACATGAATGAGACCACTTGAACAATGGCAAGTCATAATAAGCCGATTCTTCTACACCAAGTTTCAAACAAACGGCGTTAAATCAAGTTGCCGTGTTTATTTGCTCTTGAGACTGATGAAGTTGTTTCTTGAGTAAATAGTTGCGTACAACTAGCTCGAGCAATGAGATAGCAGAGTATTTTGAAGAGATTCAATTCATTCGTTCTTCTGATGGCATCGTCATCGTATGGCGTGCACGGGGAACATCTTTATGAAGAAAGGCTGACACCACGGAAAGCCACAGAGACCACGGCACGCGGTACTCACCGAAGCAGGAAGGTATCAACAACCAGAGTCGGTACTCGCAGGGTTGGTGATGATACCACCTCGATCTCTTCATTTGGAGCATTATTTGGACATTACATGATGGGCTTATTATTCCCTTCTTCCTTCATCGACTCCCACATTACGGGTGGGATTAGTCTTTAATAAGAAAGCACATAGGCTTCTGCCCAACCACGTCACCTTTCTTTTCCTCTAATGAGAGAAACTCGACGAGGATTTAATAGCCTGACTACAAAACCTAGTAAATATGAAAATTGTTGTGGTCATTGTCCAATTATTTCTTTTTCTGACCACAAATGCTGCTCAGTTGAATGTATAATTTTAGTCTATGCTACATAATCAAACTAATAAATCATAAAATGAAAATTTCTGAGGAAAAAAATCAATCAAGTCACTCTGATGGTGGATGTAAAACAACCTCTAAATTTGTGAGCTACTACTTGTGCCATGTCCTACTCGTGATACGCACAAGCCCATTGTTTGTGCAAAGGTTTCTTTTTATGTGGTTGACATTGATATCGAGTGATCGTTTAAACGCTTCCAGAAGCATTAAAATGGAAATGGATGAAAGTGCGCTAAGTAATAATGGACAAAGTATTGGATTGGGTGGGCCACACAGACGGACGACGTGTGTGGCCCTATCCCGAAAATCACAGCTCGCTGGGTGGTCTCCTCACTTCACAACAAATATATCTCGGCCCTTCTTCTTCTTCTAGCTCTGCGATGAGGTTGGTGGTTCTTCCCGGCTTGAAGATATTCAGCAAGTGGCCAACAACGGCTACAATTCATAGACAGCTACACCAAGTGTCACCAACGAGGCTGCTTGCTGCAGCGTGTCATACATTTTATTACGGGAAATGTTCCTCAGAATTGTACATTATTTTCTATAAAAAATGCATGCACAATTGAAATAACGAAGCAAGGAAAAGTATGACATATGCGAGTAATGCTTTAGCTTTGCGACTTAATTATTGTCTTGGGTTTGCTTTCATACAACTTTTGACACAACTTGATCAGAGTCAACAACCAAGAACTATAGACTTTTCACTGTATTTCAACTTGGACTATGTTTTTATTAAACTTATGTATGAAAGAAAAAATTTTCCTATGAGTAATCAACTAGGTGAGTAAGTAATCACCTATTTGCATTATTGCGTCTCATTTTGCATAAATAAAAATCCCAAACATGCGAACTTTCATAGCCTCCAGTCCTGGCATGTGTGTGTACGTATGTCGGTATATGTCAAGTAGTAAATAAATGTAACAATTTTGCTACTTTCACTAAACTTGGAAACACATTCGTGCCACAAGTGAAAGCTTTGTCTCAAGGAAATGTTACATGCTGTTAGTTTCTCAGCGTTACACGGTTTTCCATTTACACCTGGAACTCTAATCCGTATGCCTCGTGTCACGACCAATGTGAACGTGAATAATGCGACGCTGAGCATGCGGGTCGTATCGTAGATCCCGGATTCGGTTTCCTGCTTGACGGAAATCTCATCGCCCGACAGCCACAAGATACTCTCTCTCTAGTTTCAAACTAGTGAGACGAAATCCGTCTCACTTTCCTGCAAACTCTTGATCAGACAAGGTGTGCTTCATTAAAGATCCAAAACAAAGTAGTTAGCGGACTTTGTTAGTCTACTCTTGTGCACAAATTTCGTAACTTTCTACTGACACTGATAGAAAGCTGTCAGTTCAATCTCACCTGAGGCCCAAATAATTTGGTAAGAACATAAATCTACTAATTTAAAATAATTTACATAAATGCCAAATTGTAATTTCGGTTCAGTATAATATAAATGACATAGTTCCATATGTACTGAAAAGGTTGGAATGTAGGGCACGGCACGTTCTTATTTATTAACAAATCAATATTTTTCAATATACTCCTTCTGTTGAAACGGGTCGAACGTGATACTTTTGAGCTACTCATTTACATACATATTAACCAATTGTCTTACTTAATCTTAATCAATTGTAGACGGATCGCAGAGGAGCAAGACGTGATCCGGATTAACCTCATTACGCAGACTTTGTTTTCTCTTCCATCGATAATCCACACAAATGCGATCTTCCGTTGTAGGTCATCATCACCACGGTGGCACTCACCACCACAACTCGTCCGATCGTCAGCAAGAACTACACCCCCAACATCGAAACTATAATAACAATAACAACATGACGAAATCGCGACAAAACGGTCCAACGACGGGGAGTGGTCACCATATTCAGCCCCACCGCTCCTCCTCCACCAACGGGTTGGCAGACAGCTTCAATAAGCATAACAAAGCATACGACTCTCGATACGACGAACTTGAAAGCCAGCAATCAAATCAAAATAATTTGGAGGCAAGGAGAGAGCTACGGGAGAAAAGAGAAAGAGATTTCGTTCCTTCCTTTGTCCTCCTTGACGCCTGTATCTCCAACAATGAGAGAAAAGTGAGAGAAATCTGTCGAAAACTTTCCACATTGGACGACGACGACGTTGAACCTGTAATCAATTTCCAGGATCAAGCTGGGAGGGTGAGCTTCTTATTTATTTCACTTTATTTTCGCTAGAAAATCGCAACTTTGTATAAAATTGTGACATATTGCATATACACACCTTCAGTCTTATTTTGCCTCATCAGATAAAGACTTCAGAGTTGCGACCAAAATTACTGAAATTTCTTGATTTCTTGATCCCACTTATTTGGGGGTTACGCTATGCACTCCAGCAACTGAAGGTGTTAGCTATGTATGTATATATGTATGTGATCGTACATGGTTAAGGAAAAATACGTGCATTACAAATTAGAATGACAAATATTGCGTGTAGCTTTTCATATAAATTTGCGTCAGAAGCTCTAATTCATAGAAAGGATTTCATATCTTGTAGGTTGGATTGAAAATAGATAGCTTATTTCTAAAACATCGATTACCTCAATGAAGGGTGATTTACATACTCGAATATGCAAACTTCGGAGGTAGATAATATTGGAGCTAGCAGCAGGGGCACCGACGATATTGGGAGACATGTTCCGAGGATGAGTACAATCTACGTCATTGCTTTTCAATTTGAGCATGTATGTAGTTACACCTATGGACACGTGTTTTAGGAATTGTGTTAATTATGAAATATTTTGAGTGCATGCTTATCCTCGACGGCTAATCGTAAGCAAGTGACGAACATGCAAGCCTGGAAGGAATGGATTGGTAGGCGGACCAATAGAAGCAACGTCCTGCGCCCAAACAAACAAACGCATGAAACGACAAACAAATTAACCTCGCGTCTTCCTTGTTTTTTTCATGGAGCAATGAAATGGTTAACCACGTTGAATTGAGAAGAATCAGCTCAAGATAGAATTCTCCTGCAGATATAAATAGTCGCTCCTGCCCAGACAAACAAATCCTCATAAGGTGGAGACCACCTCTCACACCAATGTTTGCACAAAAGTTGCGGAATTTTGTATTGTTTATGTCAATCATTTTTGCACGTTATTCTTGGCTATGAAAAATTACAGTGTCATGCACACACGTAACTCTTTAGTTGTTGTTGCTCATTGATTTTCCAAGTACTTAATATGTAAATACAAACACTGGAAAAAAGTTATTTCATGGTATGAATGAAAACCTTTGCTACAACAAGCTATGTATTATTGAACCTGAAATATGCGACTTATGCTCAACCTTTAAAAACTTTTTGACTCACTTTTTGTTTTTATATAAAATTTGGAGATGGAAAGTTGGTTGAAGTTGTGACGTGGACACATTGAACAAAGATTACATGCATATATTTACTTCTGAATTATTTTGTCGATACATGACTTATACTTGAGATGGACAAGTTAATTGATGCTATTCTTGCCTTATGTAAGGTGGATTTCTAAATACATATATTGCAATTAGTATCATTGGAGAAAAGGATTGAGTAGAGGGGATTGGATAAAAAATTCAATACAGATAACAAGTGAACCTACTTTCTACTTTCCTCATTTGTTTTCAGTGTAAAAGGAGTTGTCGAATACTTGTAGGCAAAACATTCTCTCTCGACTAGGAGAAATACGTTTGAATTGAGTCCAAAATACAGCCAATTATGCATTGTCTTGGTTCTCATTCATTTTGGCAAAGGCTGGAAAACCCAGACAGTTAGCTACTTTTCTTTGAATATTCTAATACAAGATCTTTATGCGTCACTGTTCTCAAATCTACTGTCTCATATCAGTCTCATTCTTCACCTCGCTTGACACGATCTTTCAAGGTTTCGCTTTCTGTGAATAACGTCTTATTACTCAAGACTTATGCTTGCCATACATTTATTCTGATGCATTATACTGAATGTCATCTCTGGAACTATCAAACCATGTATGCTGCTTATGCATTATTTTCCATGCTAAAAATACGTATATGACGAATAGTATAACCCAATTGCCTACTATAGATAAGCTATAGCAATGTACACACCATACAAACTGTCACAACATTTGGACCGGTTATGTATGTACAAACGGTTTGTTTATTATTTGGACCACGTAGTTAATTCAATATTGGAAAAATTAGGAGAAGTACGTCGTATTGATTACTTCTAAACATATTGAGGACAAATAGAAACAAAACATTTCCTGGAGCACGCAATAACATTTGCTTCTATAAATATACTTCATAATTTATTTACTCATATTATTGACAGTTAAAAAAATAAGAATGAAAAAAATGAATAATAGCAACATTTTTTAATTTCTCTGCAAAATATTGGTATACTTCCTTTGAAGAAAAGCATTGGAAAATGTACCAGATTCCTACTCAAATAAACCGTCACAACGAATGTAACCAAGGGGTGAAAGAAGTGTGTTATCTGTATTTCAATTCAAATTGATGCATGTATGCAATTTGACCTTTAAATGACATTTCATGACCTTTTGACCTTGATGGGTGTGACCTACAGTGCCCATCTTCGAACTCGTCCTCTCTATTGACGTTAGGAGTTTACGTTCAAAATTTCAAGTGTCTATGTCTTTTCGTTCAAAAGTTATCGGAGCTACGGACAGACAGACGGACGGACGGACGGACGGACGGACGGACGGACGGACAGACAGACGGACATAACGATCTTATAAAGGGCTTTCACCCCTTAATAATTAATTATAGAGAAAAACTAATTTGTAGTTTTACTCCTTAAAATCTGTGTTTGCTTGAAATAATAATCACAGGGCCTTATGTGACACCAAGCTGAATTAATGAATAACAAAACACCCAAATAAATTAACCGTCGCCGCTTTACAAATATCTGTAGTTAGCATTTAACCTTTGGCTACGATTTTCCATTTCCTCGAATATTTTCAAAGGAAACCATTTCCGTATAAACCAAGATTGAATTTTTCACGGAAGACTCGAACCAGCCAGACGCCCAGGTTTTTGACGTGTATAATGAATTAGCTCGTCAAACACTGGAGCAACTAGACTGTCTTATGTAAATCCACGTATTATAAAATATGAACCTGCTAAAAATGACTGAGTAAGTGAGTAAGCAATGCTGCAAGGTATTTTAGTGGGAAGTTCGCGTGATCAACCACATCAATTGCTGCATGAGTTTGCTAGCATTTACATAACGCCATGCATAATTTTCCCTGCCAGAGCTTTCTTCGTTGGATAAAGGATTCAACTGCTTGAGCGGCTCTGATTTCACCAGTTGAGTTCACCACGAGTTTTAGATATCTGCCCTTTCTAAGAAACACAAGCAGAGACTCGCCTCCTACATGAAAGCATGAACATAAGTGTTGCCAACGATTGAGTCCATTAGGTCAGTCGACATTCGACAAAGGAGAATACTTAACAGCAGCTTAGCAGTAGTACTTACACTTTAATGGTGCGCATTTTATTGCTGGGAATCTATTTTGCACATAAGCAGCCAACACACTCCCACTTTTACTTGACCTTATCAGCTTCTCTTAGCTTTGTAGTTTTGCTCAGATTTCACTCATTTCGTAATGACCATAAAATCAAGATAAGACTTCATTTCATACGTATATTTCGTACATATTTCGCGTTTGCGGTTTCTGAGACGCAATTTTGTGATGCACAATTATAAGCAATCGATAAGATTGTGAATTTCAATTTCCCTATTGAAATTAAATACGCGGAAATTACAACACGCCAATAATTTTCCATTCAACAGTTTTAAGTCCAAGATTTATTATTGATTTCTTTTTGATATGTAGTACGTATGTATGTATGTATTAAAGAGTGATGAGCTTTGTAGTTGCACATGCATATTTATATACAGTCGAAAGACCTGCGTGTTTTTTCGGAGGGGAACAAAAGTTGGACTTTGACGGCGGAGAAAGGCCTTGATCACTTTATTATTGATAATTTTGTAATATTCTTAATGCTCTGGATATGAAAGGAGAAAGTCTGCGGGAAAGGAAGCCGTCCCGACAGCTGCCCATTTTCTGCTTTGCTTCTGCTGTTGCCGACCGACTTTTGCTATTATTACTCTGCTACATATACGATTACCTTCCTCTTCTTTTATTCGAATAACTAAAAAAGGATCCAAATTTACGACATAATTTTATCCATCACAGTTGAGGAAAATCAATTTTCACTCTACTGAACTCGCACTATGGATAATACAAACTTTTGCCATATATCTAGACGCTTGCACAATAATTATTTACCTCCTCCTGCTCTTTCCAATACAACAATACAGTCTGTAACATTAGTTTCCCCAGAGTGTTGTATATACGAAGTCCAATAGAGAATTTTTATGTATTGTAAATCCGAAGGTCATATAATACTTTTATGTGGATTAGGCAGAGTTAGGAAGCAATTATTACGGGCACGATGGAATGTTGTCATAAAAATCAAGAAATATGAGACCGACCTGGTTAGCATACAATCACATAAAATTGGGAACACTAAACCTCAAACTCCAAAAGCCATTCGTATTTTGGAACATATTTCCATTTTAGTGCTGTGATTTTTGTAAGCAAAAGTTGTACGATGACAATCATGGATTGCTATATTTTTCGTGCATATTTGTCGAGGTCACTTAACCCGTTTCCTGATATTTTTATGTTATTCCTTGTATGCACATTTTGTTGGTGCCGTTGTGAACTTGAAGATTCAAGTCTCAACTTTAAGACAAATGACATGTTTATGCATACTTCTCAAAAGTAAATTGAAGTCGATTTCATGCATATTGATATAAATAGTCGATGGAGAAAGTGGGCAGTTTTGCGTCTCATTTTGTTGACACATCTGCTGAGTCACATTGCGAGTTTTTGGTTTATTTGTATATTAAATTGCTAAATACAAGTGGAATCTACGAGGACAAACACTTACCTCATTCATAACACAACCCAACTTGTTTGCAGATAGAGAAAGCAAAATGATGGATTTGTGGAGCGGAGGGAAAATGTGCATGTGTCCTGTATTCTGTAGTTATGCGTATCATTTCTTGATCCTCGAACCGTGTCAATTGGAGAAAGCAAATAAAACATATTTTATTTTCAAGGAGACGCAGGGAGGATATTTTCAAGAGCAGCGTGACCCTGCACACATACATTAAATCATCCGTCGTATATTTTTCCTTATACAATTATTCTGTGATACGGATGATAAAACGCCTCCGCATCATTACCAAGTAACCCGTTGCCATCATGAAGGTGGAAATAGAGCAAAATTTTAGATCATGTTTTTGAGATGATATTCGGAATTGGTTTCCTGCTAAAACATCAAACGAAGGATAGAATTGCGTGGATTTATCACGTCCGCAAACAAACCCACAAGATTTTACCAAATGTTGGAATAGATTTTCTTCCTACACAAGAAGCGTGTGGACAATGATGGACCTTCAAAATCAACGAATAATGCTGAAAAACAGGGGAGCTTAATTTTAACCAACCAATCAACTATCTCGTCTTGAGCTATGTGTTTATTCTACATTTAATGGCAGAGGTTTCACATGTTGTTTTGCATTTGAGGATTATCTTCATTTGTGGAGAAAATCTCTAACTACATATTCCGCAATATTATTACGTACCATCATTATTCGAATTTGTCCCTACCCACCACATTACACAAATACTTCTTTTGTTCTTTGTATGCTCTATGAGCACCACTAATTTGAAACTGCTCGACCGAATTTTGAGCTCATGTTTGTTTTTTTGTTTGTATGAAAATATGAACGTATTTTTATTGGAATGACTTGTTTTGTTTCATCTACAGTAACATACATACATCACGGGAAAATTGTGTACGGTATGTTGCAGCAGTGACTCCCAGTGGAGCATTGAACCCAGAAAGTACAAGTACATACACACATGGGAACAATTGGTCATGAATTGTGTGAAAGAGTTAGAGGTTCAGTAAATGCAACTACAAAGCAAGAACATCCAAGTCCTTATCCAGTTACACGTCCTCGTCACACGGGGAAATATAATGCCACTTAATGAGCTGAGAAATAACCAACTTTAGCCAGTATTTGAGCATTTACTTTCACCAATGAGATTGACACAAGAATGGTTGAAGGACTTGGAGGATGTTGGGTGGAGAGTGGCCTGTCACAGTTATAGACGATTGCTTTTACCTCGTTTTGTTGCAGCCAATGTAATGTTTTGTCTTATACGTATGAACTCACAGAAGACCAGAACCACCCTAATTTATCGCACAGCAATCCACTTTTCGTCACTTTTGCCGTTTACGTAAACACTTATGTTGCACCCAATCTGTCGGTAGCATACCGTCATTATTGTCTTGTCCCACTTTGTCGCCTTTGAAGCTTTGCTCTCATTTCTCCCTTCTGACACTACTACATTGAATTCACTTCCTGGACGGGAAGTAATGGATTGATCATCAGCGTCTTCTTTGTACTACACACACACACAGAGCATATCTATATTTTCATACATATTCATGTCTAAACTTTCCCAGATACAGTGTGGGGACGTGATTTTCTCTGCTGAATTAATTTCACTTCCTTCTTTTCGCATGGGCTGCTGCCATGTAAAATGCAACACGAGCTATGGATGTTCTCGATTTTCTCAGTATCAAGCACGAGTCAGAATCAGTAGATAGATACCAACTGCTGCGTTGGATATTTACTTTGTGTGCTAAAACTGGAGTCAAATGTAATTCAAAGGGCGGGCGCGATGGAAGAAAATGAAATTGAGTACGCATTATGTTCTGATAACGAGGTTTCAATGCGCCTTCCACCCTTTTATAGCTTAATGCATGCTCTGGTTCAAAGAAATTTTCGTCTCTGTGTGTAGGGTTTGCTTGATTCGGAAAGTATGTAGGACAAGCCAATGTACTTTTACTCCATGCGTCAAACTCCAGACTTGTGATCACGACCTGACTTTATCATCGTCACTTCCTTTCATCTATGAATATACACCTATAAATGTATCATCGTATTACTTTGGATCAGAGGAATGGCGACGAAAAACCAGAAAAACACTTCCTAGAGTGAAAGTGCTTTTACTCAAATTTTAAATGAATATTCACTTACTGCTAAAGGTCAAATATGGTGATGGAGGATGTGCGAGTTTAAATCACCTAACTGATGAGGAAAAACACGTGGAAACTTTTGACTCGCAGTTTCTGCATGGCATTCCTATTTCTAAAATTGAGCAAAATTGTATTTCCCATATTCTGCCTACTACGGGAGACGGTGTGGTTCATCATTCAGTAGGTATGCGAGATTTGTGTATGCACAGTTGTATGTAGTGTTCTCTCTGTCGGTTAATCTTACCTCTAGAACAGGGTAAATTTCCAATTTAAATCAATTTTCCTTAGTTTTGTGTGCAATAATCAGTTAACATTATACAAGTTATACTATACAACAGAATAGAAAAGTGTTCGAAATGGTAGCATAATATGATTTTTATGTTTTTCAGACCCCCTTGAGCTATGCGTGCTGTGGAGGCAGCATACCTGTGATTGAAGAGTTGAGCCGCATTCGCAACATTGACGTGAACTTGGGAGATAATGATGGCAACGTTCCACTTCATTATGCCGCCCAAGCTGGACAATCCGAAGCTGTGGATCTCCTAATTGCTAGATTTGGAACTAAATTGGACTTGGATTGCAGAAATTCAACAGGTTTGACACCCCTTATGAAATCGGCCCTTCAAGGACGCACGCGTTGTGCTAAGAGCTTACTCTCTGCAGGTATTTACAGAGAGTCCAGCACGTTGCTGAAAACGTATTTGACCTTGAATAACCCCGGAACGGTTTGTCGTTGCGGGTCAAAATTTTGAACACAGGAGCATGTTATCCTCAGATAGTTGCGTGCAAAAATTCAACTCTCTACTTTCAAAAATGCCTCCCCCACAGCCCCCAGAAGTTGAAACAGACATTTCAACTCTTTCCAAACTCCGTCTAAAAAATTCGGTCCCAGCAGAAAAATGTTCTTTTCAAGTATCCGACCCCAAATAAGTCCATTTGACTTATATCGGGGGATTGTACAGGTATTTCACTATTTGAAATGATTTTTATTCCTAATCTAGCTTCAAGGTCCTTTGCATTATCTTGGGTTAACTTTGTCGTCTGGGAAGACGCTGCGTCATCATGAAAAATCACCTCATTTATTTTTTTACCGTGCAATTTAAGAAAGTGTTATTCTAAAAGTGGTTTCAATACACGGTCCACATCATACTTTACAAATACGTTCACTTTTTGGGGGACTTTGATAAGTGGAGGACACCACGACAGGACATTGCACACACAACCATAAACTGTTTACAAAAGTTCTCCTCACGAGGAAGCACCAAATTTCGTGAATTTTTTTCGGCATTTGTCGTGTAGTAAGCTCTTCGTACCCAATTAGTGACTTGTAGGGAAAATAGTGCTTCGTAAATTGTCACCCATATCTCACTCCTATTCCTCAACAGAAAATTCAAATAAATTTTTTTGCAAACACGGGCGAGATTTTTTCTGGAACAAATTGAAATGACTGTCTCGACTTCTGGCGGCTGTGGGGGAGGCATTTTTGAAAGTAAAGAGTTGAATTTTTGCACACAACTATCTGAGGATAACATGCTCCTGTGTTCAAAATTTTGACCCGCTACGACAAACCGTTCCGGGGTTATTCAAGGTCAAATACGTTTTCAGCAACGTGCTGGACTCTCTGTAATTGTTTTACCAACGAAATACGTTTTATAATAACGCTCTACATAACATTTTTACCTGTGTGCATTTAGGAGCTTGCGCAAATCTTAAAGATTACAGTCGCGGTTTGACCGCCGCCGAATGGGCGAGATTATGCGGAAGGTACATTTGTGCTGAAGTAATTACACGCAGTGCAAAAGATGCTCATCGACATTCTGGAAGTTCCTTGATGAACTTTTCCACCATGAGCAAAGCACTACCGGTATGTCAATTCCTGATTAATAATGACGTTGATTATTAATTGTATTTAATGCGACACTCCAGTTTTTCAAACCTATTTTTACACCAACAGGGCAGTCGGAGCAATATGGAGCTCAAACGCATAAGCTCGGACGAGTCTCCGTACTACCATTTGTACGCACGTTCCACGATATCTGGAGCAACTTGGCTCAAGAACAAGATCAGGAAGGCGTTGGGGGCGGGGAGCAGCCAGACGTGTAATTCCCCCATGATGAGAAGAGCTCCGGCGAGGCCCCCCATTTCCGACGGGAGTTACACGCTGATGGGTGGGGCCACCATTTGTGCCGGTTCGGTACTCCTTCCTTCAATCAAACCACTAATTGAGCAACAACGGGCCAGACAGTCCGTGGCCCATAAAAAATTCACCATCCCCACCCTGCAAGTCACTCCCGTGAAAAGATGAGGGCAATGTGTAGTCTAATTATACTATTTATACCCTAATCCTATTTGTCAAGTTGAATGCATGTCTAATTTTGTTCTGGCATTAGGCTGTAGCCAATTTATTGGCCGTGAATATTTGAAGTAATGCAAATTAGATTTCACTAGATATGAATGCCATCAAATTATGAAGAGATTGGGAAAAGAAGGATCATAACTGTAAATTATTCAATTCAATTTTGTACAGAATCTGAGTAACGCTTCATACTTTGAGACCATTTATACATTTTCACTGCACTTTCTCCATTCATTCTCCAACCAGGTTTAAGTAGGTTTATAGTATCTGTGTACGTACAAGTATATTATTGAGACAAATATTCTATTGAGCTTTTCATGCACATTCTAAACACCGTACCTAAGAGTGGTCTGAGACAAATTCTAAAAACTACAAATTATAAATTACTTATGGATAGACTGTAAATATCTGTATATAATATTTAAAGGTGTACAAAGTTTCGAAATTTATTAAATAAAACATGCGTACCTACATAACCTGTTGACGTATTGATGTTTTGGGAATAAATCAAAATTTGACATTTAAGACTTGTCTGAATCTGATTTTATTTTTTCAAAACAAACACACAAGTGACTGTTCACTGGATAGTCTCCAGCATGGAGACTAATATATTATATACTTGTCTCTAATTTAATTTGTATCACGACTCTTGAGAAAAACTCCATCAACCATCCACTATCGTCACACCATTATTTAATTTATTAGCTTATAGTATAGAATATCTTATTCCTGGGCCACACATCAATAATCAATGAATCATAATAGTAGGATTCATAATGCGGTGTGTGTTAGGCATGATACATACAATATATTTATGTACGTAATGCTTGCCAATATGTAAATGTGCATGAAAAATTTACCCAAAAAAACTACTTGACCTTTTTTTAGTTCACCCTAAATCTTGCAACATATGTACATAAATATTATTAGAACAGTTTATAGTGCACCTATATTATTGTAGTGAAATATTCACTACTCGAAATTGGTACTCAAATTTTATCAATTCTTAATTTTTAATATCCGTATTACTTTCCACAGTCCTAGTTTGTGATACCCGAAAATTATAAAACCAATTTTTGTGTTATATTTTATCTATGAAGAATAAATTCATCACAACTTTTGCATAATTGACAACTAACTAGTTTTAGTTGTAGTCCGAACCAGGGCTCATGTAATGGTTCTACATATTTGTCCATCTGTATTTTTAAATAATTTGGCAATTTAATCGAGAATACTAGTAAATGATAAGTTTTTGTACAAATATTCCTCTGCATGGTTCGGGCTATGCAAAACTGTTTGTGAGAGGTTTTAGAACTGTAATACCAAAGAAATAAAAGACGCAGGCAGGTATTCTAATAATCGCCTAATGACGACCAATATGTTGTTATCGAACTATACATAAGTTCTGGAAAAACTATTTTCGTGTTCCAGTCTAAAGCAAATATTGCAACAAAATTCTAAACTTATTGGTTCTGTGGAAAGCCATAAAAACTGGAATAAAATATACACATCACCGGAACGGTAGAAAATGGTAAAAAAATCATATTACTCTTTTGAACAGAAGTATTTGACTCACTACAAATGTCTAAATATTATCTCCTGAAAACGCAGGATGAGCATGTTTCGCGGATTCAACTTTTTATCATAATCTTGATCACGATTTTACTCGCCGAGTCCACCTTTGGTATTCGAGCAGGCCGCGTTGGAGGGGCGAGGGGAGGTTTTAAATCTGGACAAAGCAGGCGAGATCGTCAAAGGAACAAGACTTTGATGGCACATGCAACAGCAGAGAAAAAAGCGGACGAAATTATCGAAAATCTTTATTTCGACATGACTTCAGGAAATTGGACAGAGATGGAAAACCGGACGTGGATTTATGCCAGCGCATTAATTGATCTCAACGAGGTGTATCAAAATGATTGTACTGCAGTTTTTGGACCACCGCTTTCGATATCAATAGTGTTGGTTGTAATTATCGAATTATTTTACCATCTTTTTGCGTGAAGAAGGTTTTCATAAATGTGCAATGAGTTTAATTTAATTGTAAGTTAATTTTTTCACATTTTCTCATTTGGTTGAAAATTTTGTTACTTCACCGATGTAGATTCAAGTTGATCAAGGCCTGCTCAGTTGGGCGTAATTTGCTTATTTTTTGACCACAAATTCTTTTCTTCGACAAACCATTTTTCTTTTAGTTGCTCCACATGTCGTTGGTTTACAAGTTTTTTAATCCTATAATTTAGCAAGTCATTTTGTGAGTACATACATATATTCCAGTAGTTAAATATTAATTGAACTGTGTAGTATTTAGAACTTACAAATGTGAAAAGGCTTTTTCAATTTTGCTTCCTTTGGGGAAACCCAAGGCTAGAGTGTTATTCTTTGCTTTGTTGTTGATGAATGGGGAGGACAACTTAATTCCACTATTTTTTACTTGAGTACTGTTTAACGGAGCAAGTGCAAGATCGGATTTCTAAAACAAGTAAAAATTAGTATAAATAAATATAAGTTAAAAGATGTTTTAATCACTGGTCTGTAGTCATTAGTACATTACATTATTAGCAATTGATCCAATCAGGCCTGACCAAGCCTTCACAGTTTTATTCAGAACCCCGTAAGAATCAACCTCATGGATTTTGCAGTTATTAAGATTTTTTAACTCGGCGTCAATTTTATGCAAAAGGTCAAACAGAAGTCCCGTGTAGCATGGACTTCGACAAGATGTATTGCTGGTTGTCTTTAGGCATGTCTCATTTTTTATCACCCAAGGATGATCCTACTCATTAGATTTCATTTATTCCTTATTTGAAACATTGTAAATTAATAAACTAACATTACCTCAATTGTAACAATCTTCCGAATTTGTTCTATTTAGTAAAAATTTGCAAAATATTACTACCTCATTTTAATACGACATTTTCAACTTTGCGAAATTAAATGTTCTTAATACCAACTTCAACCCCAACAGCAATGGCAATTAGAACAGCAACTATTTGTGATCGGAAAAACATTTTTATGCAACGTCCAACACCGAACTAACGGCGTCAAATCGGAATACATTGACTTTTCTGGAACTCTGGTTGCTTGAAGTGGGATGCATGTGAAGGACAACTATTTTGTGTTTTTTAAATGCACGAACCACATTATTTATGCGAAATAATGCTTCGTTAGAAAATAGTTACTAAATAAGTACATAAACTAAATTGGAATGAATAAAAGTTTCGTGATGATTTTTTGAAGAGGGAAAACGTATGTACACTAATGAATAATAGTTGAATTTATTTCGTGACGATGTCGTGTCGTTTTTTTATTATATGTTACAATAAAATTATCGACTTTTATTACAGATCGAGTAACATGCGAGGAATGAAATTGACACAAGTTGATCACTGCCAGTTGCATTATAAATATCTTTCTAACATATTTAATTATTGATAAAGGAAAAGTCTATAGATCTGTTTGATAGGTATGCGCTTCAAAAGGTTCTCCTTCCTCCATCGTTCTTGAACGGGCATTTTGCTTCTTTCTTTTTGTATGAATCACAGATAATTTATCGAAGGCTTCCTTGATCTCCAAGAATTTCTCTTGTGCCTGTGCTTTCTCCTCCTCGCCCTGAAATTTGTCAGGGTGCCATTGTCTGGTTAGTTGTCGCCATTTTCGCGTAATTTGTTCTTGTGTTGCTCCTTTGGGCAGATCCAAAACTCGCAGAGCATTTCTTTCTCCCAGTGGATCAAACCGTGCTATTATCTAGGTGATTCAGATCATATGAAATTTATTTAGCATACAAAAACACTTTACAGCGATATTTTGTTGTCCGTTATTTGTAAATATAATTGTATACCTCTGTCCATAAGGAACCAAACCCATGAATCCTGTAGTACTGCCACAGAGTTTGTAAAGATTCACGAAGTTCGACAACCATTGGAGATTTGAGTAGATTTTTGACTGAATCCCTGAACTTGATTGTCTCTCCGTGTTCCGTGGTAATGACCATGTTGAAATATAAAAATGAGCCCCATAATGAGGCATATATGGTTCCATACACAGCTAGTGTTGTGATACGTCTAAATTTTAAGAGCATGCGTAACATATAGCGCAAAAGAAATTGACCACTCGGAGCTATAATAATCTTATATTTTTATTACCTGCAGAACCCCCTTTTCTTTGGAGGTGTTCTCTTCCATTTGACCTGTGTTCTGAAAGCCACTGCGGATAATACGGAACTCCAATAATATTTTGGATTCGCCATTGTGTAAAAGAAGATGGGAACGTAAGCACCGATCAGGGCGTTTCTTATTGAACCTTCTTCTCTTCCAATGTTCCCCACAGTATAAACCCCTAAAATTTAGGTTATGTTTAAGAAACTACGAATTAGTAATCTTTTTCTGTGGTTTCCATTAAATAGTGGGTATCATATGACCATACCTATTGCAGACGCAAGTGGCACTAAAGAAATCAACCACCACAAGGAAATACCCATTATTGGTTCGACAGGGATAGCAGCGTATACCAGCCAAGATAATAAATTTCCAAATACGATTTGACCTATTAGTCGGTACCAGCAATACGGGGGCTGAAAATATAATTTAATGATGATGACAAGTACTTAAAATCAATTCATGATTATAATACCTTTGGTTTTTTCTTCATAAGTTCTTTAAACTCCTCCACATACTTGTGTTCATAATTTGCTTCCTGGACATACCTACCAGAGACCCAAAAATATTGCTTAGTCTCTATGTTTGTATACTCATTACTGTGTATTATGTTATCTGCTTACCTTGGGATTCTAAATAAATCGTTCATCAAACCAACCCCACCGTAACCTCCAAAAAGACACCACCATACAAAAGCTTGCTTATCCCGTCCCAGGTAAAAATGATGCATGCCAAACCATCCTCCAAAAAACCAAAGGATGTAGGTCACGATCACGCTCTTCCCCATTTTTGCCCTCTAGGGTAAAAGTTCATTTAGTGCTTATTTTAAAATATATGCAATGACCAATGACGTATTACCTGCTACAAATTTGGTGGTGAAAGGTCAATTTTATTTGGAAGTGGTGAAAATGAATGAGACAAATTCCTTCACATCATGAACGGTGCATGGCTATCCCACTTGGAACAATGAAACCTTATAAATCCAAAAAGAAACAGGCATAACGTAGTTTGTTACTTGGTTAAACTTATGTTTTAAAAATAATTGTGTCAGGCAGCTAATATTATATTTAGTTTGCTATTCAATAGCTCAGGCAGGCTAGCAATGTTTAAACTGTGGTTTGGTACTCACCTGTTGCTGCTTCATTCTTCACCATTATATGACTTCATGATAAAGGACAGTCAATGTTTTAATGACGATACACAGGTAATAGTTAGTCTAGTCTGCTACATATGTCACAAGTCAGATGGATTTTGACCAACACCACATGAGCCTTTATTTCTGATTCAATCCGGCCTAGAGCACTTTTCCTCACCTTTTTGTACCACTACAAGTCTCATTTGGTTCAAGTGAACCTTTGTAACGCAACCTCACGATATTTACTGGAAATATGATATGCAGATTCGTTCAAAATTACTGAGACTGCAATTTATTTAAACTGCAGCTGTCAGCAATATAGTCATTAATAATTATTAAGAGTTCTCTTTAGCACCATCACGATCATTGCATTGCAAAAAGGAGTTGCTTGCAAATTGCCAGCTGACTGAGGAGCTGAGGAGTCTTGCGAATCTTGCCTCTCAAATTGAAAGCAACGGTATCCTAACCTCAATTTCATGTTTATAAGCTAAATGTTGTATGAATAATGTAGACCTTATAGAAAGATACATTTTAGTTAATAGGCGAATTTGTTGACACAAGCAGAGCAAACATTTGCGTCATTTGAGAAACAATGACAGAGAAACTCACTAAAAGTGTCGGATATCCATACGTATAAAATGTAGAACTACTAAAATTCAATGTTAGTTTTATGAAAAGTTGGATTGCATTATGTGCATCAAATGCATCGTGTTTTATGCTTTCATCAATCAATTCATAATCATTTATTTGCAACATAAGCAAGACTTGAAGAATTATCACTTCCAACCAGATGCATTTGTGTGTATTGTTAGTTTTGTTTCTCTACAAATCAGTACTGACAAAGACAAAATAATGTTGCAACTTTTTAGTATCGTGAATTTCTAGAACGTGAATTGGCTCGGCGGTCAGGGTTTCCTGCAGTTTCGGGACGAGGTTTTGGCTCTAGAAAATCACAGTTAATATCTGGACAGAAAAAATCTTTGGTCTTATTATTCATGATGCATTACCTCGAGCTCCCTGTAAAAATCCTTTCCAGTACAAAGTTGGGTCGGATGATGACGTAGTGACTCTGATGCTTTCCCCAACTGTCATTGGACGACCCCGATTGATGACATTTCTTGAACGTAGATCAAATGACGTTTCTAAAAATTATTTATACGATTATTTCTATCTCGAATTTCAACCATGTTTGTATGTATAGGATAGGACGAAGTATTTAATTACCGGAACGCCGAAATTGAGTATCTGAAACTCTGGCACCAGGTCCTTTCATCTTTAACGCTGCTTGATACCCTGCAAGAATGTAAACCTCTAATTAAAGTTAATTATATTGCAATCAAGCTTTACGTCATTGCGTCCTACAAGTAAAGAGACTAACATTTTTCTGAAAATAATTTATACATTTAATAAAGAGTTCGCTACATGATTCTTAACGCATTGTCAAGCATATCAATCAATTTTGAACTAACCTGCAAGATAGGCAGCTTTCTGCTTCCCATGGTCTTGAGCTAACCGAACTCGGATGGCTTCTGTTGCACATGGTGGGACAAATCCGTTCATTTCCAGAATAGCAGTGCAAGCTTCACTCCGAGTTTCATATCTTGAAAAGTAAAAATTACTTTAGATTTTGGTTACACTTTACACTCGATTATGTAGTTCAACTACGAATTATTATGCACACCTGACGAATGCCACCCCTCGAGTAGTTTTTGTCTGTCGGTCACGGAGAACCTGAGACGTAACGAAGATGAAGAAGGTTTTATTTTAAGGACGTAATATATTATTTGTAGTAAAGGGTATCAGTGAAAGTATGTTATTCTTACACGAAGATGCACAATAACTCCAAATTGAGAAAACATTCGGTCTAATTCTGCTTCCGTGATTGTTGTGGGCAATCCAGTCACAAATAAGTTGGTATCCTTGATATCATCTGAAGTGGTTCAAACATTTTCAGAATGCTGGCACAGCCAATGTCAGTGTCCGCCGAAATATGTATTACCTGAAGGGGGCCGTGCAAACGAAACCTTAATTCTTTTATGCCCTAATTGAGTACCGTTCAACGCATTCCTAGCATCGATGGCGTCCGACAGAACTATGTAATTTACGAAGCCATATCCAAACGAATACCCCGTCTAATTCACATTAAACAAAATACGCAAATAAAATATGTACACAGATTATTGTATAAATCACGTTACTTGACTGTCTCTCATGATCTTAATGCTTTCCATGGGGCCATATGGGGCGAACAAATGAAAAAACTCCTTGTCTGTAAGATTTTGTGGTAGATAGTTGACGATAATGTTCGGTTTCGGTTCATCGTTGGACGTGATGCGTGTAGACATCCTATCTTCATAGTCTCTTGATAAGGGTCCATCTCCTTGAGAGTGTCGTGAATATTGTTGGAAAGAATGAGATTCTGAATGAAACTGCTTTCCAGTTTCATGGTGGTCAACGCTATCTTCATTTTCAATCTGATTATGACTACGAGAACTATTTGCAAAGTCACCCTGTCCAAACATTGGCATATCGTCGAGATGTTGCTCTCCATCGTTAGTGTGATAGCCATCCACATTTTCGCTGTTACAAAGAGCTTTACCAGTTTCCTGATGGACATAATCCATGCTTTGATCATTTTGAAAATTTATATTATAGGGAGTAATTTGCATGTACCTCAGGGAGTGGGGTACTGGAAGGGGTTGGGGAATCTGAATCAGCGATGACGACCGACTCGCCATCGTCTTGAACAATCCCTGCCCGAAGCATTTTAGAAAGTAGAATAGAACTCGAAGAAGAAAGAAATGCCCTAACCAACGTTGCCTGAAACAAAGCCAAATAGACCTATTGTGGCGTTGCAATGATTGATGCAAAACTATGCAGCCAAGAACAATCACATATGGAGTCGGTCTGCAGTGAGAAATGTAAACTCTTCTCTTCCGACTTTCTAAAATGGCTTTATCTTATCTTAATGTTATTATAGAAACATAAACTGTGTATATAAGTAGGCAATAAATTTTCAAAAATTGTTCCAAGTTCGTAAAGTTGGAATCTTTTATTACACGAGTAGAAGATGTACAATACATAAGCTATTTAACTTAGTCAAACAAGCCGAAACCCATGTCGTCGTCCTCTTCTTCAGATTCCTCCTTCTTCTTCTCCTCCTTCTTGGCTGAAAATATAAATAACCAACAATATTTAGTAATTTGATTACGTTGATTACCATTACTACAAATCTACAAGTTGTGAAATATTGGTTATCAGTAAAAAATTGTATATCCAGCAGCATTTCTCAGTCGAAAGATGGTGATCAAATTATTCATCATCAACACTACACCCTTACCAAAACTAGATACAGATACAACCACAAAGTTTCAAGACTTACGTTTCTCGTCTCCGCCACCAGCTGCGGCCGCGGCTGGGGCTGCGGCTGCTGCTGCACCACCTCCCGATGGCATGGAGGCGAGCTTCGACTGACCTAAAGAAATTGTAAAAACAAACATTGAAATTCTACTTCAATCTGTGATTTTTAAAAATGCACACGACATTTTCAAAACTTTTCTTCAGCTAGAGCTAATATATAGTCATCACGGACAATACAGTCGAAAGATGGTGTAATTGTTCATCATGTTTAAAATTTGAAATTTCCGTTACTGGGACCATTGTGTTACATAATCTTATTACCTTCTTTTAGGAGGTCTTCTAGGACTTTCCCCTTGAGTTCGGAAACGACCTTTTGCAGCTTCTCCTTATCTGCTTCAATACCAACAGAACTAAGGATTTTCTCAATATCTCCGGCGGAGGGGTCTGATTTCTGGCCCAGGACTGCCAACAGGTAAGCTGCAACGTACCTCATCTGAAAAACAATAGTTAACACTGTAGTCTACATTATCTCGTTTCTAAAGCACATTTTATTACTTGTACTTTTACACTTGCAAATTGTGAATTACAAAATGTTAATTTTAACCAATCAAAGTGGGGGATATACAACTTTTGAAATCCTGTAGTATAATTAATTGACATAGTACAATCAGGCACAGGGTCTTACCTTTATAAATGTGTAAAGCTTTGGGAAAGTTTCCGTAAATTGATGAAAATGAGAGAACTTTTGTTCACCCTCCTGTCCAAAACCTGCTCAGCGTGGATAGAATTTGCCAATGCCGGTGAGATTCTCCACGTTCTGAGCCACGTTGCTTCATCCAACCCACAGAGAGTGCTGAGAACTTTAATATACCAACACCAACCACCTTGTTTTTGTGCCGTTTTGTCTCGTTTTGTCTAATAAACCCATGGATCTAAACCGAACTCTTCTTTCTATGCATGTGAATTCAATGATGCATCTGTGCAATGTGTAGTTTTCGTAAATTCTACTTTATTGCGACGGACTCCCACTACCAGATTTCCATTGCTTATCACAAAGTTTAGGCACTAATTGTTGCTCACAACTGCTTTTTATCATAAGACGAAACCAATGGTCGTTTATAGTGTTTGTTCTTTGGTGCTTTGCTAATGTAATGGCAGGTACTCCATGTAATGTAAGAATGTCATTAAATGTTAACGGTTCCTTGTAGGCAGGGCCTAAAATGAAAAGTGCATAATAAATATAGAATTGCTCACAAATGTTTACAACTTTACTTAGAAAGTCCGTTTAAATTTTATGTACCAGTTTCTCGGTTGGATGCATTAAGAAATGATGTCAGAAATACAGTGGGCGTAGAGAGCAAATCTGAAGAGCACGGAATCAATGCCTCGGCTTTCTCCTCCTCACATAGGACTGACTTGGAAATTATGTATATGTCAATAATTTTGCAGTTTTCACCATTATCAAGATAGTCCGGGAAAACTTCAAGCTCTTCAGATTCGCAAAATTCGAGGGTTTCTCCAAACGCACGATCTTTAAATGAAACGCATACTTTATTTTGAATTTATTTGCAAGCTGAAGGAAACGAATAAAAATAGTAATGTAATATGAATACCTGAGATACTCGCGTAGACAATTAGTATTAGTATTAATATTTTCATTGTGGGGTTCACTGGATTGAGATGAGGAAACATCCTCATGTCTATTGGTATATCAAGAATCCCAAAAGTTATCCTTTCCATTCTTGTATCCTCGTGCGTCTTCCATGAAATCTGTTGTTTTTTTAGCAAACCCGTTCCCTTCTACACAAAGCAACTAGCAAGATACATTAATAAAATTAACAACCCATAATTCAATTCTACTAAACTTACAATTCAGATTAAAAGTGCATAATCTGTTCCCTGTCTTAAACCAAATCTCATTGATTGTATCAAATTGTAAGTTAGGCTCATTTTCACATAGCGTCCGCCATTTAGAGTTTATGAGAGGAATAACTGATTTTAAGAAGTTGGACTGATCCCCAACCATCCAACATAGGCTGACATGAAAGGATGGATCCTGTAATCAGGTAAAAGGTATTTTTATTATGAGCTACACGTAAAATCAAAGTAATCGTAGTAAGTGGTTGTCAATAGCTATATTTATCATGAGCAATTCTTGCAAGAATACCTCGTAATAAGTTGGTAGCTCATATTCGGCTAATGCCCGGTCACTCGCGTCCACTAATTCGTAAAGCTGAGGAGATGGATGGACATTCATTGATATAAATGTCCTCGTCTTCTCTTCATTGACATATGTTTGAAAGGTCAAGTACACAAGATTGAACCTATATTACAGAGTTTCAATTTATATACAAGAACATTGCTTACACAAATCTTAATTGCATATGTTTATAAGCAATTACTCGATATTAATATTAATAAGGCTCTGGGAGGGACTTTTCCATTACCTGTTAATTTGAGTAACATTGTTTTTCAATGTAGATAAAAATGAGTCTATCCAATGGTGTCGCAAGACGACAGTTTTAGACAAAGACAAGTGTAAATCTTCACAGAAATGAAATTCAAGGTCTGGAATGTCGACAACGACATTTTTAATATGTTCAATTTGACAAATAACGTTTTGCGAATTGTTCACTACATAAAGCAGAAACAAGACACATTTATACTGATTTTATAGTTTAGAAAAAAATACTTGTTAAATTAATAATTAGCATACGTGGGATATGGACAAAGGAAGCCCAATTTCCTCTCATATGCGGAAAAGATCTTATCCGTCCTCCATGTTGTTCCTTGTCATCATTTGTAGGATGACTATCTGAAGAAGGGAACATGCTTAGCATTGACGATGGGAGGGGCAGCTTTTCCTTCGATTTGTCCATAATCGGATCAGCAGCAATAGATTGCATATTATTCAAATCTGGTGCGATTAATGGATTGATAACATTTTGATCGTCTGATTCGTCATTATCCGACAAATCAGACCCGTACGACTGAAGCGACTTTAAAGCATTCAAGGCCATATCTGCGAAAAAGTATAATTATAACATTGTATTATAGTTATACTTGCAAATTTTGTAAAACTATTTACACACAAAACCGTATAAAATCATGTTGTGTAATAAAGGCATTACACATGCATTTGATTTATGATATGATTTATTTTATGACTTACTTACCTTCAAGCTGGCTAAGAATCACAAGAGCTGGAATAGAATTGATGATAGAATTGGTGATATATTTAGCTACAAGTTGCTAATTATTAAGACCATGAATATTTTGACACGTTCTCGTGTCGTTGCGTAAAGATTGAGGAAACCAGATGAGAAGGAGCAGCCGATTCCACGCGGCCTCAAATCTACTCGATTCCAGCAACAAAGTGTGAATCGAGAATCCTCGTCTCAACTTTCTCTTTGCGTACGTGCATTTGTTTGGCCTGTTGCCTCTTTCGTCTCACTTTCTCTTTGTTTTCCATTCCCCGACGCCTACTAAACAACTGTTGTGCTCGAATTTATCCCCGTCCATTTCTACTCTATTATTAAGGAGTGGAAGACCTGAACTGCTGCTTATTAAAATTTATGTGAGAACCACAGCTTGTGCGTTTGAATTAGCAAGGAGAGTGACAAGTTGGAATGAGATTTTTGTAATTTTTATGATTGACAGATATATCTTGTCACCTTTTCTATATTTTCCACTTACAAAACACCATGCACGTATGTATGCTTGTTATGTAATCGCTAAAATTCTGACCTGAATATAAAAATTGCATTTTCACAAGTTTTAAAATCTTTTGGGAGATGGAGTTTTATATAATCAAACGGAATGATCGATCGTAGTCTAGGGACAGGAGACGTGCTGACAGTGCAACAATTCATGGTTGCGTTTAATTTGTATATATTTATGGTATATACGAAGGCTATAGTTTTGTAGGTAATTCGCAACAAGCAAGGCAAGCTGAAAGTGAATTACGTGATTTATGACATGACACGGCATCCTCAACACCCTCATAATTTTTTTCAGGAAATCGATACAAAAGTTCCTTACTTTCTTTCTTCTGCCTTGCCCAGATCCTACAAGTTGAGGAAGGAAAGTCAAGGTCAATCCTTGGGTAGGTACTTTTGACTCGGGTCGTGCATTACAAAGGAGACAAGGCCTCCTACGTAACACCCGACCAGGATCAATGATCTAGTTCCGAGGGTAAGAGAAAGCTCTATTAAGTTTGCCAGCCAAACGACCGAAACGACACTTACAGAAATCTTGCAGAAAATATCATATCGTCATCTTTACTCTTCATACTCCTCCACTCAATGATTACCCCTTCAGCGAAAAATCTGCTTGCGAATCTCTTATGTAAACGTCGCTATTTAAAAGTGCTATAATTTGAAGGTGTTGTAATAATAAAGTGTGCCAACTCCTTCATGGTCTAAAGTTCCTCTGGATCAATGTGGAATTTGGTCTTGATCCCACTTATTTGGTTTCTACGCTCTTGAGTGGTCTTACTCTTGAGTAGGATGTAAGGGATCAAAATAGCCAGAAGTAGTCTAAAGTAGTAGAAAGATTCACTATCCTTCAGGCTTTCCTTTGCACCCACGACGAGCACCGCTTTCCATTTCACAACCCATCTCAAGGTCTCCCAGGACATGTCCGAGCATTGTTCGCTTTATGGCTGAAACCTGTTTCTCGGAAGAAATTCATTTGCATCGTGTGGGGGTCTTATCAAATAAAGTCCGATTGGAAAAGTCAGTCGTATCAGAAAGACTATCAAGTTGTGACATAAAATGGGAACATGTTTGTCCTGGGTGTTATTCACAACGATACAGCCAATGGACAAGTTCGAGAGGTTCATAAAAAGTACACCTTTGAAGTTTTCCTATTTGTAATCCGTATAGTTCTAAACATGAGACGAATTTCGGAAATCCAATCCCCTAAAAATTCCCATCTAACCCCAACGTTAAAATGTAATCCTCGATTAGAGTGCATTAATGGTGTCAAGTCTCAAAGGGAATTTTGATGAAAAAGTGGTACTCATTCTGTACACGCTCCACGTCACACCACAAAATGCCGAGTGGCAGACGGGCATAAGGGGAAAGTAAAATAAAATAATTCTTGAGCATTTCCTCGACTCATCCACGTCTGCACGCCTTAGTCACACTGTTTCAGGGCGGTACCCTGATTTCCTCTCCCTATCCCTCCAACAGCCGAGCAGGAGGACGCAATGCAGATATTTTTGCAACTGCATGGCCCCAGTACTGTGATCTTCTTACTTACTGTGGAATGGAGAGAAAAAACACTCTGTTGTCAGTCCTGTTCAGAACAAGGCAGCACCAACTCCGATCCTGCCAAGTACCACAACCATCACTTCTTTCACTCCTCTCCTGACATTTCCTAACTCAATGTCACCACAAACGAGTTGATGCTATGCAGTTGTGCAAGAACATGTAAAATTGTTTTGCTAGTGTGTCCCCTGTGACCTGGAGGATAACAGTGCACTGGCAGCTTTCTAGGTGCAAGTGCTCTGTGCAGTTGTAGGCAGGGAGCAGATAAGCGTTGGATGATCCTTCCCAAGCCCAAAGTACGACGACGACCAGCACCACTATCCCTTCCGATGGAAGGTTTTGGGTTGTGGAGGAGAGAGTGGATCCTCTGGTGTAGGGCGACTTTGGCGAAGAAGAAGAGAGGAGGAGACCATCATGATGTTGGCCAAGCCATAAAACCCCGACTCGAGGAACGAAGCTTTCTCCCGTTCCCACTCGTCCTTTTATTACCAACTTGGCCAACTTGCTTGACTCTCGTTGACACCCTCACCAGTTTCGTCTCAGAACTCGCCCCCGTCGCTGCTTTGTTGTATTTACTCTTCCGTCAAGATTAATCTAATTGTCTTCTCGTTGTTCTGCACGTCTAATTACTTTTGCGAGTCACACAAGTCACACGCTCCTTGTTTTCCGGAAGTTCCGGTTAGCAGCTAGACCCCATATTTCCGATTGCTCCAACTCTCAGCCCCACTACTCACTCGAGAGGATAAAGTAGGATCAGCTCAGTTTGAAAGGACGAAAATTGTATTTTATAACGTTAAAATTAGTCGTGCAATGTGATATTGTGATATTTTGCACGAAATCCGAGTAAAGTGTTAAGGAGAAAGTTGCCAAAGTTATAGAATCACTGTTTTGGGGGTAAGTTGAGAAACAACTTTTCTAATTTTTCAAGAACGTGTGAATCTCTTTCTTCGCTTAAGAAAATTTGAGACGCAAAATAAAGTTGTTCAATTGGTCGGTTAGAACATATATAAATATTATAAAGTAGCAATAATTTATGTGTGTAGCACTTGTGGCATGTAACATATGCATGTCTACGAAGTATTTGGAACGTAAACAGATTGTGATCCCTAATTGTTTACATAACAGACGATGACTATGTAGATTACGTTTTATAAAAGTATCCACCTACATATTTCAACTTGTTCGGCATCATACTTATGATAAATTATTTTTTATTCTGTAAAAAAAAGTTTGTCGCTTATTTTCAGATATCTTGTTTATGCGATTCATTCAGAGACAACTACTTTTGTGCTATTTATTATTATGATCGATAAATTCTGAGCAATGCTAGGACAGACATTTAATATTTTTGTTGTGATTAGACGTTTCCTAAATATGTCGCGAACCACGGGTCGATATCAAAGCTCGAGTAAGTTTCTGCATGGTTCTTAAAAATGTTCAAGAGGTTATAAATACATGTTTATTTGAGAATGATTTTTTTAGAATTTATAATGTTCCATTAAACATTAACAAGTCTATAGGGGAAACTTTAATAAAATTAAAAGGGCTCTACCACGAAATAATATGTGCATAGAGGGAACTCATACTTATTTGCGACGTTATTACACTGTCGGAATAGAAAAAATCATGATTGGATCCATCTATTTTCATTTCAGGTTTATTATACGTGCTTGTGATGCTCTAGTTTATACAACTCTTCTTTCATAAATCCTTTGTTAAGAGGAATCCTTGTCTAGAGCTGGTCATTCCGCCATGGTAAATATCATCCAGAGCGTATATTCACCTTGTCATGTGAAACAAGGTCGTGTGAACTGCAGAAGTGAGACTTATTGATCTCATGATAAATGCCACACCATCAGCCATAACATCAAAGTGTACCAAACCACAACCTTGCACGCTGTCGAGATTTTCCAGAAATACGTTCTTGAATTGTGAGCTATCTAATGCACCACCGCCTTTACAAACACAAGTCCAGGAACAAGTCGGTTGAGCCGGCTTCATAGAATTAGAGGAAGAATTACTATGAACGTAACAGGACTCGTGTCGTGTAGTAATATTTCAGGTCGTGACTAACTCAAGATTGTATAAGGATGACTTGCATGCACTGTCGTAATTGCAGTTTGACTGACATTGGACTAGTCGCAAAATTGGAACATTTGGCTTTATCTTCGATCTCGCCCAATGTTCAGTAGACCACCAACCAGGAGTTCTTTATGTGACTGGTGCGGCGTTGTATGTATCATTCCTCCACCAAATGGAAATAGACATGCAATGCGATAATTCATTTATGGGGGAGCAGCTATTGGATTCATTTGTAAGCAGAAACAGCGTACAGGAGGCTTGTGGTTTTGAACCTAATTCTGGTGGGTTCGGTTAAGCCTGTGATTCCCATTAGAGAAACACGAATTAGTACGAGCATGATCCGAATTCCAATATATTCCTATTTCAAATTAGATTATAAAAATATTTGTGAACTAACAAGTCCGTCCGTGGGAGGCTACGTGTGCGAATTACAATGTTGAGTAACCTGTTGGAATAGTAAATTATTATTTCATAGTTTTCTTTCATGTACATACATTTGCCAAGAATCGAAACAGTCGACCAAGTTTATTTTTCAGTACAACACACTGCCAATAGATATAAAAACGGGAATCTTAACCATTCTTAGCTTGAGAATATCTGGATTAATCAATACATTTACCTAACCTCGCTAATCAGATATATTGAAATTACATGTTAACGAATCTAATTTTGTTGAGATGCATACTTGTACGAGTGTTCTACTTGATTTTAATTTATTCAACTTATTTTCTGTTGCGAAAACTTATATTTCGTAGACACACATACAAAATTTAGCAAAACAGTACTCTGGAATTTGCTAATCAAAAAGTTTTTCTATCTAATCGGATTATACATGAAAATTTACAATCAACATTGGAAAGTGGATATACTTACATTACATACTAACAAAATATATGTAGGAGTAACGACATTTGGAGGACTAACATAGTCTCAAGGTTGAGAAAACTTTGGAAGAAGAAGGATAGCGAATTTTATTGACGAACTTTCTTTTCCACTTTATAAATAAGTAGCCCCTTTCACTACCATTACCACGAGTACATGCCAACTTGGCACCAACCTAGTCTAACCCGTTTGTTTGATTTTCTTACAGATTTGCCAATTAAAGAGTCTGACTGAAAATGCCCCCTCCGCCACCCGAACCTGTAGCCCCTCGGTCAGAGTTGGAAGAACTCCAGCTCAGGGCAGACACCGTCACAGATGAGGTACTTCAACTTTCCTTGCTTTCTCTTTGTTTGTACAGCACAAAAGAAGAGTCCAGTTCTCGGCATGCGAGTTTTACTTCTTAAAAATATCCATGCCTTTAGGTAAACTATTATCTAAGGAACATTGTATGCTGATTGGTTTGTCAACATTTGGGGTTAAATATCCGACGAAATATTTTATATAGGTAGGTAGGTTGAGTTGGACATGCAGAAAGAAATGTACTGTCGATGATCGACGACATAAATAGTATTAAATGTTTAATTGGTGGTTGGTAGTAACGAATCCAAGTAAATCAATTCAAATTACGGTTCTCGAATTGGGTTAATATGTAATTATCTACATCCGCTTGTTTACATAAAGTGTGGAATAGAATACTTATGCAAGTGAGTCTATAATTTACAAAACTTTGAGAATAAAATAATTAAGACAGTGGGTGCACACGCGTGTGTTTCTCAATAATCATGCATGCTGTCTCAGTTATGTTACAAGCATTTTATTCCATTCGCATTCGTTCTATAATAGCTGCCCAACGCTAAATAAATAAAGGCAGAACTGCAAATATTCTTCTTTATGCATAAAGTGGGCCGATAATAGGGTATAAAAAATACCGTTCGGTCCGTCCGTCGGAGCACTATGCGGAATATGTACGACACTCGTAAAGTTGTTAGGATGTTAACCTTTTGATGTTTTTGTGTCCATTACTAGTGGACACACACAATCTATCTGGAGTTTTATGCATATTAGTTGAAGGATAACATCTCAAGCGGTGAAAGCACCCCGTAAGTCGAAAGCTACTAACAACGCTTTACTGACTAGTTTATAGAAATAGCTAAACAAACTAGATATATGCAATTTATAACGTTAGAAAAATAAACCACTATGCAATTGCATTAGGCAAATGTACATTTCAATATATCAAATCATTCACATCTATAGTTCCCAATTCCAGCTTATTAATCAACAATCCATTTAATCTAACGTCAGAAAGGATATTTTAGGAAATGTTTATATAGCTTAGCAATTTCAAGTCTTTTAGTTGTTCAATGTTGTGTAAGTATCAAAGGGTACGACGGTGCGTTAAAAAACTTTCTCCAGCCATTCTATGAAAGTTGTTTGATGTTGCATACATGCATTTGAAAATGCTCCTGCTTAATCATCGTACAAATATCCATCCGGACGTGGAAGGATTGATTAGAAAAGACATTTCGTTACTGTCATTGCCTTCATTTTTCAAAGTAATAACAAAAAAGCAGACAGTGGTGAAAGAAAATGGCCCACATATCTAAATATATGCATATACATGTGCATCCTTATAAGGAAATAAATACATGTATCTCAATATTTTAAAAGTGACACAAGATTCTCTCTACCCTCCACTGCAATGTATGCCTGCTCAAAAATAACAAAATATTCCTCGTATATGGTCTAGCATGTGGATAGAAACGTTCAGAATTGGTTGACACAGGATAAGCCTTCATGTGATTTGGGCCCTCATAAATAATCCGTTCCCATCATCATAGACTATGAATTTGGACTGTTGACTGTGTGCGAAGGCTGTTGTTGTGAAGGTTGATCTCACCAAAGGGAAAGTAAAAGTGCTTCCTCTTTGTTGCACGACAATGATCCCTCCACTTTTCCAATTCGGTTAGAGAGCTGGCTAACACCTTATTTGAGCCCTGTTGCCGACTCGATGCCTCAGGTTCATCCAAGTGGCTACATCCTCCCTCTTGCCCACGTACATGGACCGGATCTGCGCGAAAGGCTGGGCAAAAGCTGAGTCAAGGCTGCGAGGGCAGTTAAATGGACGGCGGCGAGAGCTGAGGAGGGGAGCTTGCGAGGTTGATAATAACAGATCTTGATGCCCTTTGGATATGTGGTAGGGTCCCATGAGTGTACTAAAACCCTGAAGTGGTTTGACTCCATGGCCACATTTGCGCCCGCCACACCCACTCAAAAATGCCCAAAAAACGCTTTCACTCGAGTTTTCACTCACTCAAATCCACGTCAAAAATCCAATTTTACTCGGATTTTGAAATTTCTTTCACCAATATACTCCCAGATAGTTGCTTTCTTCAATCCAATGTCAAACTCAATTTTGCTGATGATTATTTCGCAGACATAATTTGCGTTGTTGATTACTACAACAATGCTCATTCAGAATTTTAAATTTTAAAAATACTAAAAATTTCGAAAAAATTGAGTTTGATACTGGATGGAAGAAAGCAACTATCTGGGAGTATAATGGCGAAAGAAATTTCAAAATCCGAGTAAAATTGGATTTTTGGCGTGGATTTGAGTGAGTGAAAACTGGAGTGAAAGCGTTTTTTGAGCATTTTTGAGTGGGTGTGGCGGGCGCAAATGTGGCCATGGAGTCAAACCACTTCAGGGTTTTAGTACACTCATGAGACCCTATCACATATCCAAAGGGTATCAAGATCTGTTATTATCAACCTCGCAAGCTCCCCTCCTGAGTGAGAGCTCCACACAACATTATTATGGACAATGTGCCACTTTCTGCCACTCCTCTGCTTTCTCCACTCGCTCTTCTTTATGCCATTGTATCAGCAAAGCAATGTAGTCGGCCCTCGTTGTGCCCAGCAGATAGTCGTGCTCAAGCCCTGTTGCATTCTCCCCAATTTGTTCTTTCAGCCCGCAAGGAGAGTTTTGAACGGGTGGAGATAAAGACAACGACATTGAGAAGTTGGGTGCCTTGTCTGATTCGAAATTCAGTAACATGATACCAAGTCATTCCCCTTTTCCAGGCATACAGATGTATTTATGTGTAGCTTTGCAGGGCTACGTGATGTAGACGTTTCCATGTTATAGCCAGCAGTATCTCGTATGTGTGCCCCTTCCGTACTTGAGCGCTTTTTGAGATTCGAGCAGAAAAGTAATTTCTACTGAAAATACTAGATACATATATACGAGCATACGTGTGTGTACCAAGCAAATAAAAAATAACGTTCCCTGCATCATCCAGCTATGTCTGTACTGTGGAGCCACATGTTTCCTGAATTGTAAATGAGCCCACTGCAAGCAAACCGTATTTTTTGCACGAGCGAATAAAGCAAAAAACATGCAGACATTGGAGAAAGTGAATGAGAAAGGGAGAGAGAAGCCGACGCTGTAAACTTTGAGGAAGCGGGATTGCGATAGATTCCCGTGGGTCTATTCATATATTACTCATCCGTCTCCTCTCTCATGGTTAAATTTAAAATGTAGACTGTTCGCACAACGTTGGTATGTTGTTAGAAGTTCCATAAAATCAAATGGGAATTTTCACGGTGGCAAATGTTTAGAGCTTGAATGAATGAAGGACAGCATAAAATTGGGTTTGGTGAAGTAAAGCCACGTGGGAATCTATTCTATGATTCTTTGGAATGACATTCAAAGTCGGTTCATTCTAATGCTAAATAATCCCGTCTTTGTTAAGCTAAATTCTAAATTGTTCTCGCTTCTCATGCAAAGCAAAGCAGACTTGCAGGGGAGAAAACAAAAATTACAACAATGATATCTTCCTCCGCATGACTCCATTGTGACTGTAATAAGTAATAATTATAGTCTTTACACATATATATGTGCATCAGGGTCCATTTACTGTATCCTTGGAGAAATTCTAGACAAATTGTCTAGAATTTCTCCAAGGATACAGTAAATGGACCATCCATTTCTTTGCATGTATCTGGAATGGTTTGAACAGCTTGTACAGTTAGAAAAGTAGGTTGGATTCGACGTAACTCAATTGACGTGTTGAGGGTTGACATGTGTACCAATAAATTGGATGATTTCTATAATTTTAATTTTACGAAACTCATGGGACATATATGTATTATGCAAGAGGAAGCGTGGGTGGTTGGTCTACATTGACATCTCTCGTGATGTGTAAATATGAATATGTAAGGAATAAACCCTCCAAACGAATGTAAATAAGTAGCGTCAGAGCGATTCCAGTTTCTTTTAACGTTTCTCCTAATATGACCTCGTTCTAACGGTCATGAGGTCAAAAATATTAACGTCCTTGAAATCGCAGTCAAATTTTCTTTAAATTGACACCCCATATGACAATTAAGTATCTTTTGACCTTTGACCTCGTCGTCAAGGTCATAAGGTCAAAAATATTAACGTCTTTGAATTTGGGGTGGAATTTCCTTTAAAATGACACCCCATATGAAAATTATGTGTTTTCTGACCTCTGACCTCGTCGTCAAGGTCATAAGGTCAAACATATTGATATCGTTGAATTCATGGTGAAATTTCCTTTAAAATGACACCCCATATGAAAATTAAAGTTAAATTTAATCTGGACCACACCCCCTGGCGCAGTGGGGTGTGGTCCGATTGACCCCATTTTCGAACTCGACCGAGAACTAAAAATTAGGAACACAATGTCGAAAACGGGGTTTGATTATGTCGACTCGTTCTGGAGATATCCTGCTTACGGACGGACAGACGGACGGACGGACAAAACGATCACAATAAGTAGCTGACGCTACTTAGGGTGTGATTTTTAATGTTAAGACCACTATGATATTTTAAAAGCAGCTCAGTTCGTGGTTATTCAAATCGAATGATATTATGCATAGTGATGAGTGATATCACTACCAGTTTTGGTGGAAAGTTTGGGCTGAATAAGTTTGGAATTACCGGAGATATGGAGGAATGCATGAAAAGTAGGTGAGCCAAAATGATAAGACCACCTTCGAATTTTAATTCTCACTCGTTCCTCCTTTTGTTCGGACGGTACAACTAAACTAATTCCACGATGGGAAGGTGAAATCATTCAAGTACTGCAACTTGACGTCCAGGAAAAAACCGGAAGAGAGATTTCAAGACGTTTTTCCCAATTAAAAACGTTCATTCATCATTATATCAAACAAAGGGCAAATTACGGGACCAGAAAAATTGGTACGTGTCCAGAAGTCACATTGGACCTGAGAAACGGTAAATTGTGAAGTTTTCTAGCGTTGAATATCCATTAACCCGAGAAATAGTGCAAATTTCAAATGACAAAATTTCCATTAGCACATTTCGACGCGTTTTATGGAACTTTCCTTGCCTTAAGTGGTACAAATAGGTCGGTCAGCCACCACCAGCGAATATACATAAGAGGGCGAGACCTGAATTTGCTCGATAACATACTTCTTCGGACAGACAGTTGCATAAGGATTGGCACAATTCATAATAAACCATCGCCGATCAGCTACTTTAATTTTGTACATTATTATAAGAATGCAGAGTAGCATAGACGTGCTACTAACGGTTTAAAAATTGGTATTAAGTTTTTGTAACACTTTTCCATCTGTCGATGCTTGAAATATGGAGGTTCTTATTGCAGATCGTGCCATTAAAACTTATACCGGGCCGGTCCGGCAAAATTTCATTTTAATTTACCCGTGCAAATGACCTTACGTCCCCCTGTGTCCCAGGAAATATGTTATCGAGCAAATTCAGGTCTCGCCCTCTTATGTATATTCGCTGGTGGTGGCTGACCGACCTATTTGTACCACTTAAGGCAAGGAAAGTTCCATAAAACGCGTCGAAATGTGCTAATGGAAATTTTGTCATTTGAAATTTGCACTATTTCTCGGGTTAATGGATATTCAACGCTAGAAAACTTCACAATTTACCGTTTCTCAGGTCCAATGTGACTTCTGGACACGTACCAATTTTTCTGGTCCCGTAATTTGCCCTTTGTTTGATATAATGATGAATGAACGTTTTTAATTGGGAAAAACGTCTTGAAATCTCTCTTCCGGTTTTTTCCTGGACGTCAAGTTGCAGTACTTGAATGATTTCACCTTCCCATCGTGGAATTAGTTTAGTTGTACCGTCCGAACAAAAGGAGGAACGAGTGAGAATTAAAATTCGAAGGTGGTCTTATCATTTTGGCTCACCTACTTTTCATGCATTCCTCCATATCTCCGGTAATTCCAAACTTATTCAGCCCAAACTTTCCACCAAAACTGGTAGTGATATCACTCATCACTATGCATAATATCATTCGATTTGAATAACCACGAACTGAGCTGCTTTTAAAATATCATAGTGGTCTTAACATTAAAAATCACACCCTAATAATGTACTGCGGTAAGCTACCTGGAAATGATAAAGTAGACACTTTGCAGTTTCATATATGCAGTTGGACGGGTCGAAATTGTGTGATGTTCATCTTCACGACGAGAATTTTGTGATATTTTTCCTGTGCCCATAGCCCATTTTAACTGTGTGAAGTCACGTGTGTTTTGACTTATCTTTCAGTCCCTCTCGAGTACAAGGCGGATGCGAGCGCTGTGTGATGAAGTACGTGACTTGTTTTATTTCTCTGGAATCCTTTCGTATAATTGGACGGCGCATTTTATGGGATTTATCAAAGTCATTATTTCTATTTACTTTCTAGGCGAAGGAAGCCGGAATTCGAACCCTCGTGGCGTTGGACGATCAGGGCGAACAACTCGATCATATCGAGTCAGGAATGGTTCAAATAAACGAAGATATGAGAGAGGCAGAGAAGAATTTGCAGGGAATGGAAAAATGCTGTGGAATTTGCGTACTCCCGTGCCACAAGTATGTCACGAAGGATAATATTATAAGAACGGGTGCATTTTCGCCATTTTATTGAATTCCCAAAATTTATCCATTCAATTCGTCCCATTCTTTCTCCGTCTGCCCAGATGGAGAAAGAAAGTTTGGAAAATAATGGAATGTCAGTCGCGGTGGTGGCCGCTATTTTTCGCTTTCTCCCTCATGCACTAGTCTCGTCTGGCTAAAAGGGACAAGTGCTAAAACTTGACTCCATTACTTTAAGAGATTTGAACATCTCAGGCTCTATTTTCCTTTTTATACGTACGTATCTTCCCATTTTGACAATTCTCAAAGTGCAATTTGCAATTCGTATGGGTTTGCATCACTCCAGTGAAGTCTATGTGATAATTTTTTTTTAATCAATACTATTATTTTTATAGATCCAATGAATTTAAAGAGGATGCGGGGACCTGGAAAGGAAATGATGATGGGAAAGTTGGAAATGGAGCGCCTAGTCAAAGGGTTGACGCTAACGGTGGTAATTAACAATAGTTAAACTCCTCATCTATCCTTGTAACGTACTCAATTTTTTCACTTTCATTTGTTCATAGTTCCTGCGTATGGAGGCTACGTTGCAAAGTAAGTTAGACTCGTGTCTTGCTGTTTCGTCACATAATAAGTAGAACTTGGTAGTACACACATGTCATTGTCCCAAATACGGGAAGTTGCATGCTAGCTTAATATTGTGTTTGATGCTAGATTGACATGATATCCGATTATAATTATTTTAATTTTGTTGGCGTGCATGTAGTTGGTCGACCAGACTGCAGTTTTTAGTTTCATGGTCACAATGTTTAATTGATGGGATGATTTGTATATGTAATCGAAATATACATCCGCGCATGTTAAAAAAGTAATTTGAAGTTATGTAGGTCACCATTCATTTTGTCACTTCTAGGAAATGCAACATGTCGCTCTTCTTGCATTTTGGTGTATCTTTCACATTCGACATTTTGTTCACTTGGATATGCACCTGGAATAAAACAGCTTTTCAGGAATGTTGTAATAAGCCTGCGGGCATTAGTTGGTTGGTGGTAAGCTTAATCAACGATGATAATTTGTAAGCCCTGCTTCTGGGTTACTTTTCTCTCCAATGTCGGTTGTTGATGCCAATTTTCCAACGCTAGACTGAAGGCCTGACCGGAACCTATGTTTTTTAATGCTAACGATGCATCTTTGTAACATTGAAAGAAAAGTTTATCTTTTTCACGAGCTTAATGAGTATTCGAATAAACATGTGGTGTTGCTTCATATGATTAGCAGTACATGTGTACATATGTACATTCAATGAACAGCCCACCGTTCATCATAAGCAAGCAAAGAAGTGAATTCGAATAAATTACAGCATAATGCATATTAACAATATGGAAACTACTCACACAGTCTCACTCGGTGTGTATTTTTTCACGTCTGTCGAGTGGCAAATCCCTGAACCTCCAGAGAGAGAGACGAGAAAAGAAAGTACGAACACGTATCTCTAACACAACTATTTAAATATTCATAACTTAAATATGTAATATTGAACTCTAGTTTAAACAGCGAAATAAAAGCACGTGGTATTCCACACGACGTGACACATGGAGAGCAAAATGTTCCTGTCAGTTCCTTGATAAGAACGACCGGATAAAATTATTCGCCTGACTGAACGAGACATTCAGTTGCGAGAGTTCTCCAGACAAAATCGAAATATGTATTTCAGTGTTTGAAGTGAAATATTGAACTGAGGAGTAGCACCAAGGACAATAAACAAACGAACAATAAATGTTTTTTAATGAAACTATATTGTAGTTCCACCATGAAACTGTAAGGTTGCTTGCTTTTTAGCTTCGCTGCAATGTTTTAAGCTCAAGCCAGTAAAACAAAAGAGTCTGGAAAATGCAAATAATTTCTTTTCTTTTGTTTCACAAAAAGAAGGGCAGAAATGAATCGATAAAGCACTTACTACAGCGTTTCATAATAATCACAAAGAATACTAAACGTTCCTGTTTTATAATTTAGGTATAAACAAAGTGAACGAATTTAAGCAGAACTCGTTGTTGGCTTTAACTTATACACCCAGTTGTGCACATATCAGAAGTATAAACTATAGCTCAGTATATTTAGTGTCGGGCATGACAAATGCATTTTCCACTCTTTTCTTGCTTTCTTTTTTCTTTCTGGTTAGCTTTCTCCTGCACTTTGTGAAGACGAGCATCACAAGAGCATAAATGTGCCATGAACGAAATGAAGCAATGGTGGAAAATGTGACAGTTTTCTCTTTGGTCGTTTGCAGGATTACCAACGATGCGAGAGAAGATGAGATGGAGAGCAACATGGAAGAGGTAGAGAGTTCACTTTATACATACATAAGTACATATTAAATAAGTTTCGTCTCATATGGAAGAAAATTGTTAGATTGATAGGTTATCTACGTAATTTTTACTATAATTCTCAAGTCTAGACGAAGAGAAAGTTTTCTCAAAAACTACTTTTCCTACAATGCCTTTAATAACTGAGACCTTTTTCCAGGTGTCCATTATGGTGGGGAACTTGAGAAACATGGCCGTGGATATGGGGAGTGAAATCGGAAATCAGAATAATCAAATTGATCGCATCAATCTGATGGTAATTAATTAAATGATTAATTCGAAAATAACTAGTTTAACTTTTCCTTAACAATTTATTAGCAGTAGTCAGTTACTCGTTTTCGTGTCAAAGTTTGCCAACTTTAAACACGAAGGAGGCTGCGTATTTACTCGAGATTTTTAAATAGTGACTGTACATACGTCTGAACTTTATTTTTAGGCTGCGTCGAACGAAGTCAGAATATCAATGGCGAACGAGAGGGCAAATAAGCTGTTGAAGTAAGGAGGAGCTGAAATGAAGAAAATGGGAGGACGAAGCATCCAACTTTCCCCAAAGAGATTTGTCCCGTGGCTGATAGCTAAGTGTGATGAAGATTATCTAATTAAGTTTGACTATTTATTAACACGAACGAACGAGCAGATGGTTCCCAATTACTTATGTTTCTTCCACGTATAGGCAGGCCTCACTGAAATAGATTAGCCCTTACTTCCTTCCCTGTGTATGAGAACGACTAAATGCACAAGTTTTTGGGTTCTCCTAATTTATTGTCTGGTTGAAATGTTGAGTTTGTGTCGTCGTATCAATAATGATAAGTGTTTAAGTATGAAAATAAGCATATATTTACATAGAGGTACGATGTCAAGTGTGAGATGAACGCAACCTCGTGATCTATTTTAATATAGGTATTTTTTCTTGGATCCTTCCCCGCATTCCCGATTTATATGAAATTGCACCTGATTCCCCACCTACAAAAGTACATACAAGAGTGTCAAATGCTTAAGTCAGAGGGTTTTGTATATAGAAAGAAAGCAAGAAAGACGAGAAGTTCGCACATAATCCTTGCAACTGTTGAAAGTAGGCAAAACCTGATGCATCAAGTATTCAAGTGAAAGACGGCTTATTATTCGACATGCAATGCTGCTTCCCCAAAGTACTCCTTCCTCTTCAACTAAAATTTACCTCACGAATGACAAAGTATCTCAGCTCAGGCTACACATGAATTTTGACTCTAATTGACATTATCTTAATACCTGCAATCTACACTCATCTTGTTCTCATGTAAATGATACTGACAAACCGAGTCTTGTTTTATCCGTCTTGCGTTATGCACTCCATAATTTAATAATTTGATACATACTTTGGTACCTTAAACTTGAACCTTGTCCTTCAGGAGAATGGAATGAAAAAGACGACAAAAGTCAGTGTGATACCCACGAACATAAGTATTTATGTACATGTTATGCAGACGTGTTTATTTATTCAAGCAATATAAAGTTACAATCGTGTGCTTACTGTGATTTATACTATTTATGTTGTACTACAACACATTCACACAACAGAGAAATATGCACGGGTAGAGAGAAAATTCAAGTACTCAAAACCGACGTGGTTGTCAACTGCACACACTATTTTGTGGGTAAAAGCATCCTGGCGTGGGCGTCATTATTATTGATGCCTACGTGTATACGTGCGTTGTGTGATATGTTTTTGTGTTCTGCACCACCGCTACCAAATTATGAGCTGATTTTGTACTTTGAAGCACAAAACAATCTTGGTGAACCTTGTTTGCTCAGTCGTTTGAGTTTATTGTCGATGGTGTCTGTCTGTCATTGTCCTTTCCCCATTGAATTATTAGACGACTGTGCTTCTCAACCACTCCCGGTTTCCCTGAGCTTTAAAACATATACAAAGTGTGAGGGTATTAAAGCAATGATGTGACTGTCAGTGAATTTATGACGAATATTGGTATTAACGACGCCCTCGGCTACTACATAAATGCATATGTACATACTTGTTCATTGTTGCCACTACACCTTCCCACTTTGTGATCTCCCAGTATTATGACTCTTGGTATGATGCGACGATGTTAATGATGTACAAAATTAAGGCTGCTACTCTTGCTTGTCTGCGTCCTGTTGTGTGTTCCTGGATCATCTATTGAAGTGATAAAATACATTTAATCTTATAACTACATATTTATCATCGGCTCTTTCATGTCATCGCTTTCTCTGTGCCTGACGCATTTCTATTTGGTTGACACTCACGGTACGTGTATCTGTCAAAAGTTTAATTACTCTTTAGTTCTGCTTACGCTGACAAATTGCGAATTAAATACTTCACAAATTGTCCTAGTGCTCCTTGACTAAAAGTCAAGTTGACTTGTTCAAAGAAATTCAAAAGTCTGCTGCTTAACCCAAATCAGAAATACACAAATCTTATTTTTCCCTACTGTGTAAGAATCAAAACTAAAAATCAAAACGATTGAATTGAATTAAGTATTCCTGTTTAAGGAATTTGGCAATCAGGATGAACAAATGTGCAACGTAACATACATATGATGAACATATTCCAAAACTGAAATCAAACTGTAAACAGAATCATGGTTATAAAATAACTGAATCTGAACATCATCATTAATTTAATCAAAATTCAAAATTTTAACGGAAAAGTAGGACACAAGGAGTGGTCGATTATAGTAAATGTTACATGTAAATGTATTTAAAAACACAATTACTCTTTCCGCTTTATAAAAAACATGCATTTATTCTGCTCGTAATTAGTCGTAGACCATATCAATGTGAGCTATCCTAGCTTAGAATCAATGTGCTAAACTTTCACACACCCTTCTAGCATATCCATGCAGTGTGCAACTAGATGAAGAAATATATATATGTAGATGGAGAAATCTGTATAACGTGGCATAATTAATTTTGCTAAAAGTGTTGAACAAAGTTAACTGCTACAGCTGTATTTTATTCTACAAATTGTTATGCTTCAATGTAAAGTGTTAATGCACATTCCTAAATATGAACTAAGTAATTATTTGTGTACTCTAATTACTGCAAATATTTGTTATAGATGATTAAATTGATATTAATTATTGCCAGCCAGTGAATAAAACATTCTTCTACGTTTAACTCTTATGTTTTCCTTCGTCTTTTATTGCATACGGAGTCATAATAAGTTAATAACAGTACAAAAATGCTAACATACTTAGTAATAGTAGTAACAAATACAAGTTAATTAAATGTTTCACAGTATGCGTTCTTTGGATCATGGTGTTTTATTATTAGGCACCACACCACGATAAAAAGTCGTCACTTTGTAGTAGCCCAATAATCATTCTGTATGTTTGTAGATAAATACTTGTGTTTTTCAGTCAACTGTTTTGTAAATTGTTTTTACACTTTTTTTAGTGGCAGTCGAAGTCTAGCTAGTCAGGATAAAAAACCAAAACAACAGGTATTGATTCCGGTCTCGGTCTAAATTATACATGTCAAAAATTAAAGCTGCTTCCTTTCCAGTCTACCCCGTAATTTGGTAACTCCCACTCATTCAGTTAATACTAACAATAAATAATAAATAAATACATGCACCAAACCGATCAACAAATCCTAGAACTATTGGTGGTAGATCACCCACCTCTCGCTTTGGTGAACTATAATAATAACTACAATACCCCATGATTATTAATCCAGAGACCCATGTTAACGGGAAACCCACTATTTGCTGGGAATTCACCAACTTTCACTTCATCAGGTACATTGAGTAGGTACGTGTGACTCTGCATGCTCGTTCCGGCCCACCCTTTACGGACGAGGCACATGAACATTTCAGCAGCACATTAATCTAACTAATAACTACGTAATGATAAGTGTGACCCAATAAATAAGTAAACTACCCAACACCAACTACATACATACTTGAATAACAACAAAAGTTAGCACATTACTTAAATTTCAGCAGACTCACTGTCTTGATTTACGTATAAAGTTAGGTGGGTTTCCAATAAAATTTAAAGTTAAATGAGTAATTTTGCAGGTAGCTTGTTAGTATCGCCCATATACAAGTAAGTATTTATGTGTAGTTTTTCATGAAATATTCTAATCTACATTGTTCATTACTGTCTTTGTACAGATTCTTCTTTTCGGTCGCTGTCCTGTGTTTTCTTTATAAATAGTTATCACTAAAAGAGTGAGAGTCATTGTAAGTTAACATAAATTAAACTCACTCTCCTTCCACAGATCAAATGAGATTAGTATAAACCCCCCAAATCGTATGTATGTATGTAATTCATATAAATGGCCCACAAAATTTCCAATGAATAGATCTACGTCCTAAGATTTAGCTTAGAGAGAAACGTCATTATTGAATTATGTGCTTGTGGTGACTATGACCCATTGAAGAACTTCTCCAGGGGCGACTTTTGGCTGAAAAAAAGGACGAGTGATTAGAAAAATTTTAATGTAATTAAGAGGCAATAATTGTAATGCTTACCCATGAAGCAGACGGCGGATGCGATGTAGAGGAGGAGAAGCATTCCGCAGACGACGGACAGAACGAGGACAGAGTTTCTGGTGGGACAAGAACTTTCTCCTCCTTCGTACTCTCGTTCGTAGTTGGGTCCGAAGGCCTCTCGGTTGTGACTGTGGGAGGATCGACGGTTGTGGTTGTAATTGTTATTATTGCTGCTGCTGAAGGTGGGGTTGGGCTCGATGTAGTTGGAGTCCAGGGGATCGTTGGGCATGGAGTACTTTGGAACGTTGCTGGGAAGTTCTTCATTGAAGTCTGTGCAAATATTAATGATTTGCCGTTAGTTAATTAAGTACGCGTCATACTTACTCTTCTGTCAATATTATATTAATAAATGAAATGTCGCAACTGACCAAGTACTAGAATTTCTTGGCTCAGGGTCAAATCTGCATTGGTGGCATTGGGACCAGCAATGGCGTTGCTCCTGTCTTCGTCAATGGCACGGCGTTTCCTTCTGCCATAAGAGTCAAACTTCTCTCGATTATAGGTACACTCGGCCTGAAAAGAAATATTGGGCGTTGCATTTCTAGCGTGACTGGGGCAATGTAAAATTTTCAGAAATATACTTACTGCAGGACATGGTCCCAAACAGTATTTGACGTTGCATTGGAAAATGACTCCATAACTTTCAGTGAATCGAAAAGCCTCGTATTCCGCAATGAGTTGAGATTGACCAGACTGGGAAAATTTCGGGAAAATTGTTGGTTCAACGGGGCATCTGGCGAAAACAAAAAGACGTTTTTATTGTTATATGTAGTCACGATTTTTTTATAACTAATCATTTTTCATTCAGACAAATTATCAGCATTTGACACGCAGTTGGTGAGAAAATGGCAGGTTCATCAAGATATTAATTGACACCAAAAGCTTTAGCTTACCCATCATCGTCAATGATGTTAAATGTGGATCGTGAGTCCTTGGCTGCGAAACATAGAAATGCGAAATGTTAACTTAAAGTACAATTTAGAATTGGTGAAAATCATGCAATCGAAATGAGCAATAGCAAATCGATGCATTAACATTGAGACCGTTGCTAATACATATGGCATCAACACATCGATATTAGGCGATAAAAACGGAAAATGAATTAATAAGCACGTAGGAGACTGTCTAATGTTTTTTTCAAAAGGCTGCTCGTATGATTTTTAGTGAATAAGACAAAGTATACTTTTATGCACATGCATAATTAACATTTTTGATGGAACTCGCCATCTGAGCATTAGTGAACATGGGGGCACCATCGGTCTCAATGTACTTACTTATTAATGTAAATAACTTGGTAGCTTACCCATTGCAATGCAGCTTCGTGCAAATATTCCATAAGGAGCTAGATAAAGGAAATAAAAAAAATAAAAAAAAATAAAAAAAATAAAAAATTAAAATTTAGAGCATGAAAGATCACAACAATAATGAAGAATAATTAATCCCGACCGAAATCGTGATCTCATTCAGTGCTTGCTTGTTACGTTACCAAACAATATGGCACTTCAGGTGCATTTTAACCTCTTCACATGCACGAATTGAGAGCTACTTCCCATCAGACAGACAAAGATGACGTACTCTTTGAATATTGAGCAAAAATGATTCAATCTGGGCTACTAAATAGACTGACGGGATATCATCACCATCTCGGAATTGCTAATGGGTTGTAATAGATCGTTCACTAAATTGGTTTAAAATTTGAAACGAAAAGTAGGCCTCATAAAAAGCCAAAATTGAGGTTTAGTTCACATGACGGTGCATGGAGTGAGCAAGGCTGAGAAAACATGAGTTTATTATGGAGCAGAGAAAAAGGACCAACTATTGTTTGGGATTTCGATGAGAAAGGTGAGACGATCTCCAATTCGCACGGTTTCCACTTCTTTCCCGAAAGCGTCCTGAATCCTGATCTTTGGTGGAGGAGCTTCTGGGGCGGATGTAATCGAAATTGTGTCGGGATCACGAATCGGCATCATTCCGAACGTTATGTTTCTAAAAAACCAGAAATATATTCGTAAGAAGACCATAATAATACATAGGTTGAAGGCAAAGTCAGGGGTGAGACGATACAGTTGAGTTCGTCACAACCCGTTACGGAAATCGTTCTACTGGTCTCGTTAGCAAGGAACAATGCAACCGCCAGGAAAGTCGTGGTTGATAATCATGAGGCAAAATTGAGTTCTTGCCATTTTTCTTACCGGGAGCTAATATCGTATGTGCACTTGACTTTGTAGATTTTGTCAGCCTTTGTCATTACCACAGAATGATGCTGCAAAGTTGCAAAGAAACATCGGGTTAGAAGAATTATTTCACAATAAATGAAAAACGGTTAAGTGTAAACACAAATAATACTCACTTGCAGAACAACCGTGTTCGTGTAAACTCCACCCTGCAACAAAAATAAAGAGAGTTGACCAACCTTGCGTATACATATGCGAATTTTATATGCATGTCCAAATAAAGGAGCACAAAGCCCCGTTTCTACTGTCAACTTCAGCATTATTTTTTTAGAATAGCACTAATTTTGTTTTTTTTCTCATCATACCACAGATTGAGTGTTGCAGTCTTGTCCAGAGAGACTAAGATCTAGTCTAAAGACGTCGGAATCGATGACATCAACGTTGCAAGTTTCTGAGCGTCCCAATGCATATACTCGCCCATTGAATGGCTTGTTTGTTCTCACTTGAACAGCGATTCTGGTATCCTTGCACTGAACTTGGACTGCGAAAGAGTGATGAGAAAAAAACACCATTATCATTTATGACCATTATTCCTTGAGTGCGCAGTGTATTTGGTCTAGAGTACAATATATCGAAGAGAAAATTTCAAGTGATGGGAACAACCATGCACTTTCTTTATTTCATTACTGATGGAGTGATCACTGTGGGCAAGCTGGATAGAGGTGATTACCGTCGTAGCATGTTCCAGTATAATCGCAATCCGCATCTTCTTTGTCTGTAAATGGTGAAAAAAAATGAAATTAGACACTACATGTCCAAAGAGGTGTAGTATAGTAGTACAAAAATAGTTCATGAGGTGTAGTACATAAAATTACTCTTTAATGTTGGGTTTGTAAATGGAATTTCAATGATTTTGCAGTTGTGAAAGGTTTTCCGCATACTGTACACCGAAGTTGTGTGGAATGCTTCAAAGTGTGTCTTCCTAAAACTTGTCGAGAATAAGACGTAAATGTGCACTGCGGACATTTGATTAGTTTGGCCAGATGTATTTTCCGTAAATGTTGATTCAAATTATTATTCAGTTCAAACGAAGATCCACATAAATGACAAACATATACTACTGGTCTGACATCCTCTCTTTGTTTTTTAGATTTTGGAGTTACACGGGTATGAGCCGGCTGGGTTATCAATTGTTGTAGAGACTGACGTGTACAATCAACTTGGCGATAAAAATGACACGTAGACTTAAGATTGTCAAATACTTTATGTAATGTACCATTAAATTGAATCGTGAAAACGTCCGTATCATATAGTTCTAATATAACTTCTTCCACATTACCAGGGCTTCCCCAGTGCTTTGCATAGCTCCCAACTTCAGTATTCCTAGTTTTATGAAAAAGTGGACGATATTTGGATGGAGTGTCTCTGTTCACCAGATATTGATATTTTATTAGTCTTGACACTAGATACGACCACGCTTCTGCGGCATTTGCTGCTGCGTGACATCCGCACCCAACTAATTCAGTGAATTCGATTTCAAAGAGAAGTAGAAATCTTTCGGCACAATTGTCTGTGTGATACGTATAGTCTTCCGTTCCGTCGTCAACTTTCTTATATGTAGTACACACTGCTGCCTGATCACAAAGAGTTGTCAGTTTTAACTGGAGATCTTCTATATTTGTCTTAACTAACCAAATTTGCCCCTTATAACTTCTCAGTTCGTTAAACTTAAAAACTTCACTTGCCATTAATTCTTTAGCTAATCTTTGCCTTCTTTCCTCACTGCTTTCAACTGGCTTTTTAACTGCTGGTTCTGTGTTGGACTTATGACCTGGTCTCTTATGACCCAATGTAGATGCTTGAGATTTGTTTGTGTACATCTTTAATCCCCTTTTCCATGGCTCACACTTAGGATTAGACCACCTGCTGCTCCCTTACTCGAAGTTGAACTGACTGGAGCAACCCATACACGTGCTCCACTATAGTGGAGCAGAAACTTGTAAACAAATATGTGTCCTCACCAAAGTCTTGGACGGGTTTGAAGGTTCCTGGATTCGGCTCCATTTCCAGAGGAAGCGGATCTCCTACCTTGTTCGTGGACTCATCACACTGATTCTCCTGATATTGACCGATGGGAGTGCCATTATCCAAAAGTGGTCCTGAAAGTTTAAGAGGGTTTAAAAATGGGTTAGATATTGGGAGACGAGTGGGCTCATAAGCTGCCTCTTACTCTCTGTGTTGAGATAAGTGGCTGGTCCATCAGGAAGAGTGTGATGATCCATATGGTAAAGTTGGCAATTGTAGCTCCCAGTAGGCACGGACGCCTTGAAGAGGAAAGAGCGGCACAAAAATTCGTCCTCTACTTCACAAGCTCTTTTACACCCAGCCAGACCAGAAACCTGCATTTCCTTATCGACATAGTAGTGGAGACCAACATAGTGAGATACTCGATCGATCTGTAAGAAAGTAGCAAAAATAGGTTGAGTATGACTAGTTATGATATTGATGGAACATTCATTCACAGGCGTAGGCGTGATATTAAGTCTCATCTATTCTCATATCTAATTAAATTTGTTGGACTTACGGGGACTCCAAGCTTGGGTTCGGAAAACGTCTTTTTCGACTTGCACGTAGTGTTTCCCTGAAGGCACAAATTCTCAAAATAGTCAACTCCAGTGGCATCTACGAATGAAGATTCTGGTGCGGTTCGACGATCCTCCTCTGATAAGTGGCATTGAAGAGTGACGTAGTTGTACTCGGCGGATCGGCATGTAAATCGGCGCTGGAAAATAATCACAAGCAAATTCATGTAGCAAATGATGAATTGATCACAAATTCGTTAATATAAAACTAACAAGAAAGCAACGCAAACATTTGTATATTTTTAGTCCAGAATTTCCTCGATGATGGACGTGCTTGGGCGTGAGAATATGAGAAAGAAAGGATGAGTGAAGTTGTGAAACTTTTATCTTTTGTACTCTTAATGGAATTAGACCTTTGCTGGCCTAACTCTCCGATTAGGCTCATTTATCACCATGTCCAATCCCCATCTTTTATCCATTTGTTAACTGTCACCTCCGTTATTCCTTGCATTAGATGATGGAAAGTACAAACACAAGCTATTCTGAGTGAAAGTTGTGATATGGATGCCTTCCAATATTTAAGTAGTTTCCACATACAACCGGACGAATCATTCATTTTTTATTTGAACATGTATGCATACTTTATGTAAAAACTAAACTTAAACCGTAGAGTAAATTGCGTTGTAAAATATAGAAAATTCCCCTGGGAAGCAAAAACGTTTATCAGACCCAGGAAACAGAAAGTGGTCAGTTTGCCAAAGTCCTGTTGCTGTGTCCTGCGGTGGTAGATACTTTTTCCCCGTTTTCAATAATTTAAAGCCCATAATTTGCGCTTGGATTTGTCTACATACAAATTCTCTCAAAATTTCATGTGCATTTGCATGTTGCATAAACCCCTGAAACTAATTGCATCTAATGCAATAAGCGAGAACTTGTAAAACGAATCGGTAATTTCTCTCTGGCTTGTTGTATTCTTTTGGGAAAATAAGAGTGTACTTCCTGTATGATTCCGCATAGTTGCCGTTAAATACTAAATGACAACAATTCAAGGAGCTCGGGTATCATTTGCGTAGAAAAAAGACAACGCAACTCGGTAATTCTCAAATCTGTCGTTTCTTGCATGGAGGGAGTCCCAAGTGTGGAGAAAGAATTTAGCACGTCCATTGAAACTATATGACAATGACCACAGGAATAATTCGAAAATGATGATTTGATGATGTAAGTTGTTGGATGGATGAAGTAACCATTTGAATGTTGGAGTTCGGCTCATCTCTAGAAACTCATCATTTTTCTGTGGTTTGCGAAAAGTTCTTCCCTTATTACATGACCAAACAGATCTTTGCTATACGGTACTTTCCATCAGTTTTGACAGCCCATCGCCTTTATTTCCTTGAAACGATGTATGTACATGTGTGCGATGTTCGCAATCTCTAAAAAACTTGCCATCGAACTAAAATTGTTGGTCATAAACAACAGTTGGTGCATACTTTCGGCTTTTTTTTGCTCATTAAACTTTCATTGCTCTGACTCGGACTGCATAAATGTGTATGTGTCAGAATTACTTGGTCAGCATACAGTCATACATATATATCAGAAAAGTTAATAACGATCGATTAACCGAAATATTCGTAGCACTTATGTATGTTTAGGCAGAAAGTTTTCATACTGGGAATAAGCATATTTTCACAGGAACAAATTTACATCGACCAGGTTAAAATGTTGAAATTCTATTCATGAATTTTATGTATGTACTACGAATGCACGTTAATGGAAAGGGGAATTTTCTGTGTACAATTCGAATGCAAATATAATATTTTGAAAACAGCGAAAGAATAATGATGAATGCATTGATGTAAGTTTCGCATCACGACATCACGAAAGAAATATGTGGAACAAACCGGGTGAAAATTTGTGCTCCAGCGATTCCGTTAGTTTAGCAAAGCGAAATTGTGATGAATCGAGAGCTCAGGCTACGTACCACTACATAAATAAGTAAGACTATTACCAAAACTACTACGTTTATGTCTGCTCCACTAAAATCACTCAATTAAATAAACAACATGGTTGTTCATGAATATGACCAAGTCGTCTGCAATAATACAGGTTGTGGTACGTACGTACGTTGAGAAACCGGAATGAATGCAAGAAATACACAGGGAGAAAGAGAATAGGAAAATCTAGTTTATTGCTGCGGGTGATCCATTATTCGTTTCATTGTTACTTCTCTCTCCAACTTTTACTCTAATTTCAACAGTTGTCTTGTTCCATTCTAATGAAATGTAACGAAAAGTTGGGAATTGGCATGAATGTTGGCACATCATTTGAAGAACATTGTTGGAGAATAGGCATTTAATGATCGTCAGCAATCCAAAAACAAATTATTTAAACAAAAAGTCAATCCTGTTTTTTATTCCCATTAAGTCAGAGGAGTCTAGTTTAATCATAGCGAAAACTACAAACTAACGACTGACTGGTAGTTCCAAAATTTGTGTTCATTTTCATTTATCATTGTTATCATGCACATTTGTGCGTTGAGTGCAAGGTTTCAGCCTAATCATTTGCAGCAACAAAAAGCACGACACAGAATCCACAAATACAGTTAAAATTCTGCACTAACAAATCTAGCAATGCCAACTCATTTGACATAAAAGCTCCGTTAGCAGAAGAGTCCAAATAAGATACATGGTTGATCTGATGTCCAAAAACTCCTCTGCCTCGTGCATATTGTGCTCCACTGCCACCCAGACCATTATTTTCTTCCAAAAACATTGTACATCTTAAAAAGTCTGGGCCCAAATTCTCATTAGTGGAGATTATTATCATCATTATTGTAAAGAGCTTAATGTGATGCAGTATCAAAAATATGAGTAAATGAATGGATCTCATGAAGTTTCTTGCGACAAAACGCAACTACATGAAAGAATAAAAATTTAAGCTGGTCAGGATGATGAATAAAATAAGCACACAAGGCATAGTTTTAAGAAGAGGAGTTTATAGTTGGATGCCTTCAAAACAATGAATTTACCCACATTTTTATAAACAAGATATGTGCAAGTAATAGTCAACTTCCTTAATAAGCCGGACATTGGTAACGTAAAACCCATTTCGTTGTCTAAAACTTGTACGCATTTTCTACATGTAACACGCCTAAATTTTAGTGAAGTAACTGAATAAGGAGAGAAGATGGTCATGAGCTGGGCGGATACAAGTAATTAAACATCAATTAAAAAGAGTTTGTTCCTACACAAGTCGGAACTTTTAAGTTGAGGTTGACCATTTTCGTATACAACCAGGAATTAAGGTTCAACATAAAAACACAATTAACCATTTTGACAAGGCTTTTCTTCTGCGGGACATTTTAGCCTGATAAACAAAGCGGAATAAATGCAACGGGATTTTGTAAGGGTGGTAAAATCTTCACACGGCAGATCGTGTCAACGCTACATTTTCTATGCTTTGTGCGTCTGAATGTATACATACTTATGTATGTATGCACTTATTTATGTATGTATGTGCATACATTGATGTAATACAGTCAACTCTCATTCACGCGAAAAGAATGTGGTGCATGTTCTATTTTGCATGATCACTCATTCAAGCGTCAAGAAGATTTTTCAACTTTTCAGAAACAGTATCCTATATCTGCAATAGTGTAAACTGCAAGGGGACGTATGTAACGTAAGAAGTAAAGTTACACACACATGGTTAAAAATACACGGCTACCAGAATTTCTCAAACTAGTAACTTGTCTCATTCCTGTAAGTCTGTAGACCTTGAATCCGTGAATGAATGAGTAGCAGTAGTGTTATAATAATGTACATCAATCAAATCAGTTCTCGTTAATGTCATGTGCACTACTGACTGACTCGTCTTCGTTCTAACTGATGTTTTGAATTTCAGAAAGCACAACACGGCGACTGATGCTAATAGACATCGTCAACAACGGTAAACACCTCGTTCAACCGCACGTGCACATGTTCCTGTAAAATATTGCAGTAACTCACATGAATTTCATCTGAGCTGGTCACATTGTTGTTGGATACATAATTTCAACGCAGTGAAAAGAACAGGAATGTAGAGTCAGGACGGTCTTGAATTGATGCGATATTCGAAGAAAAATGATGATCATGATACATGACAAAAGCCGCTCAAATTAACTTGTCATAATGATATCGGATGCGTAACAAGATGAATTATTAAATATGTAGGAAGTGGTTGCGTAATCGTGCACATGTGTGTATGATGTAGCCCAGGCTTTGTTTTTATGAGTCCAATTTTTCCTCTTACCTCATTAAGACAGGCTGCAAGGCAAGCTTCTTTGGTGGAAGTGAAAATCAATGAGTTGTCAAAGTTCTTGAGCATCTTGTTGGGCACTCGCTCGAATGTCCATGGGCGAGAGCAGACTTTCTCTGTAAATAGAAAACGTACAATTGTATAAGTCACGGAGGATAAAAGACAGTCATCAAATGTAGACAAATGGACTTTGACTTTCAGAGTGTGTGTGACAACAAAAGAGTGAGTTGTCAAATGTATGTGTCAAGGATTCTGCGGACGACGACGGCGTTACGTCTGAGATATCTGCTCCATTTTATTCTCGTGGAAAAGTATTTTCTCCAACGGCGTGTGTGTGCTGGGTGTGATAGAACTGACCATAAATAAAACACATTTTTCCTTGGTCGACAGTGCACCGGGCTTTGATCACTTGCTATGTATCCCTACTTTTTTCACTCGTGAGAAAGAGAAGGATGACACGGGAACTATGTCATAAAACCATTACATGAAGAAGAATAAAAACCCATCAATTTCAAGTATAGGACAATGCGAATCAGTGACTTACATAGTTTACCAGAAAATTCTGTGGAATGATGGGAATTTAATGCCTGGTTTTTAAAGATAATTGACGCACATGACATTACCAAAATTGGACGGTTTTATGATCATTGTGTTTTGTAACTGTCAGTAAACAATCAACGACCCATATTTTGGAGGTACGTGAGAATTTTTGGACATTCGATTCGTTACGTTTCAACAATAAGCTTATATCCGTAATTTCTAGTCCAAAGTCTCACTAAAAAATTAAAAAGCCCGACTAACCAGATTTGGTGACTAGAATATTCTTGTATTTATAGTCACTAAGCATGAATAAGAATTTGCATAAATCTAAAAATAAGTAGGACGGTAAATACAACCGTTGGAAAGTAGTAAATAAATTTAATTATTTTCTGGAGATTCTCCTCGTTTAAAAAAACATCTAGTAAATAATAATGCAGGTGGAGAACAAAACTGGGTGCATAAGTTTTTACCATTCAATGTATTGAAGCAAAAATGTGGAAATGTTTAGGACGCTAAACCAATTATTGACATGAATAATTCATCGATGAACAACGAGATGGAGGTCAATCGGAATCAAATTCACAAATTAAAGGTGTCGTACTGGGACATTTTTACTGCTCGTGTAACCTATTTTCAAAATTTTTATATGGAAATCTGCACCAGAGGTGGAGGTCATACCATGCAGATGGTGTTAACCATAAAATTGGTGAAATCGTTAACTTTGAACTCTTGACTTGTGATTGTTCTTTTTAATGGGATCTCTAAAAGACTCGGATTTTCCGTGCCGATCCGTGCCGAGATTGACCCATAATCACTACTACTAACAAACCAAATGTGGTCATGAGAAAAAGAGCCAGGAATTTATTTCAAGAAGGAACTTTGATCCAAGTTCCTGTCGGCTCTCATCCACTAACACTGTTGCGAATAACTGTTACTTCATTCTTCTAAAAAACCTGAGATCATTCGGTCATTCGAAATTGAGTGGATCAGGCTGGATGCCGGTGCTGGTGGATAGCATACATATTGCTTTTCTCAAAGTTCTACATCTCCCTTGAAGCGATGGATGACAAAGAATTAAAATAGCTTCTCATCCATCATTCATATTCGTCCATTATGCATGTATCTTCTTTGATTACATGACAAATTGCTTTTCTTGTTACAGTGGACGCCTTTCAATTTCGTGGTTTTATTGGCTCTCAAGAACAGCACAGAACTTATACGACATAATTTAAGCTTGAATTCGAAATTTACTCAAACCAAAATTGGGTCTTTGTCACACGTTTCGGTTGACAAGTTCACAAATTCTCATTGTCCTTCAGTTGTCTGTCGCCATTATATTTCTCAAACTAGGTCTGATTTCACGTCTTTGTAAAAACAAATTTATTAGAAAAATTGTTTATGCTAATTGAATGTAGAACATGTTCAATGAGTTTCAGTTATTTTTTACTGAAAATATTACAAATATTTTTAAAAAATGGCCTAAATAAAAAATAAATCTACATACAAAAAAGATCACTGTGTCACATACTCTGCAAGATTGGAATATGTAAACCGTGCTAAAAACCTTACTGTGTATTTTTCGTGAGGCTTTAAATTAATTTAATTCAAGGCAAGTTGCATGTTGTAACAATATGTCATAAGAATGAAGCTTTTATCTCAACTGTATGTAAGAGTGTGTGTATGCACTCACTCATCTTCCCACTTGTTCCCACCATTGCAACAACACCCAACTTTTTTTGCGAATTTGATGTTTTTTGACGTCTAAACAGAGCGGAACCCAACCGAATAATTTTGCTACATATTATGTGATTGTTTCAAGCAGAAACTTATGCAACAATTCCTAATATATTTTTTAGGTGATCAAATAACATAATATGAGTCTATGTGGACGGATTCTATTTGTGTACTCTGTTATTAGTAACGCAACCAGTAGTGTCACACCCACACGTCGATAATAATAATGACATTGTGAACGCACGGTATTTATTATCGTGGTCATGGTCGACCGGTAACTTTTTAATCTGGTTCATCATACAAATAACGGAAGTTATGTAAATATGTCAGCTCTTGAATGTCATTGCTAATTAATTAAGATGTGTAAGGTGCGTGGAAAAGTGTTGTCAGCGATGCAGCCGAACGTACAGGTCGTCGTGTTATGCATATCTGATAATTTTTTGTATTTTCAGAGCGACAAGACAAGCTTGCTACATGCATAATGGTTTCAACAACTGCTTAATCTTCCTGCCAATAACAGCGGGTTACATTGTATTTGCAACTAAAGATAAATCGGGTGAATGCCTACCAGAAGGGCCGTTAATGAAGTTGGTTCGTTATTATTATCAGGGTGTGGAGGGATTATTGAGGATTCATATCTCTAACATACGTAAGAAAAAGGCAGACTAGCTGGGAATTTGATATAGAAAAACATGAAAGTATAAAAGAGACAAATCGCTAGTCAATTAATCAAATAAAAATTAAAAAATGACGATGAATCCTGACACGACGACGAATGTTTTTATCAGGTATACACAACTTGTTGATTACTAGACTTCAGCTATTACGATTAAACGGTAAAGTACAAAAACATGTAACCCAACCATATAAATTATGGAATGCACAGGCAAACCCAAGAAGGTTCATATCAACTTAGGATTAGTTTAAAGAAATGCCAAGTACTGCGAGCCGGATATTAATCACAGTTCGGAATATAAGTACGATGGTATTTTATGCGATCCAGTGTTGGCTAGCATATCACTTGCCATCGCACATTGGCACAGACATATATTGATAAATAAATCGCCTAATTTTCTCCCATGTCTGGGTGCATCATTAGTTGAATTGTTTTTGTCCCAACAAAAACTGAACTCACGACCTCAATTACCTAACACTTCTCTTTGAAATTCTTTTAAAACACGAACCTCATAATTTGACAATTTAAAATTTACGACGAAGCATGAAATTGCGAATCTTGGCAAAGTTTTACTTTTGATTTACGTGGTCATTTTCTAATTAGTATGGAATTAATAATTTCGTGAACCGATATGAAACCGATTATCTATAACGTCTTTGTACGTATGTATGTATGTGATTATCCCGTTTTTTACGTAACTGCATTCACTTACACACATATATGCTCACACATGTGTCACATGTATCATTGCGTAGTTGACAGTGAAATTTGTGTAGCTCATGTACAGTATACGCTTATACGCTTAGGGACATACGCTTAGGGACATCCTATTGGAACCGCATCAAATTAATCTTTGACAAATCGTTCGTCGTCCGATATTCGTATCATCGTAAATTATGTGGTTGGTTAGTCGAGAGAGAGATTAAATCTTACCTGATCGGATATGCAGTTTGACCTAAAAAAATATAGTATCACATGAATAATTTGATGGTTTAAAAAACATTAGATTTAGAGACACTGGCAAAAAGGATTTTCATACCATGTAATACATCGAGGCTGCCTTCTGGGGGACGGCACTGGGGTTGTGAGCTGTTGTGTCATTCTGTAAGAGACACAGCGTCTCTTGGATCGGGGCTAACGGGTTCACAACGAAACTGTAACAAAATGCATCAAAGGAACAATATCAGTTTCAGTACCACGTTTCACACCAGATTTGGATTATCACACGAGTAATCTCTGCTAATGGAGTAGATGCATAAAACAAGCGTGAAAAAAAGCATGGCTAATGTTGAAAAGAATGTTATGCATAGTATATGCATGCATAATATGCATGTATGTATGTGAGCAGGCTTTGCATAACAGTGATGCGAGGAATGAATGAACATCTACTTGTGAAAGCTTTTGATGCATGTTTCTTCAAACTTCACCGACTCATTTGTCTAAATCTTCTTTTGGTTGTACTGTGACTTTGTCGGTGTTACGAAATTTTATCCCGGTCTGAGCGATGTTGTCATTGTGTTGGTGGAATAAGGAGATGAATGCAATTTATCCTGCACATGCCAAGCTCAATCGGAAATGATTTCTTGTAAAATTGCATGAGATGGAACCGTTGCGAAGGCGTAAAGTTATTCAATGAGTACACACATGGGTACATATGTATGCAGAAATTTGCATTGCGGGTTGGCCCAGAATTCGGGTAGAATTTGGGTGACTATGTAGAAGGATTGAACTGATTCAAGAATGTCCATTGTAAGTGGTGACTGCTGAAGGAAAAATAACATCCTCCTCCAATGTCAATGTCGAAAACCCATTTACACATCTTCGAATCTGCCGACTCCTCGAATAATCTGTTGTGATAAAGAGCTCAATGTTATCTTCATCTCTTGCGTCATTGTGCCGTATTCATTTCCTTCCAGTTTCATTCAACGTGAAAGAATCAGATTGATCTAGTTTCTTCTTGTACAACTTGATCTAAACATGGCCCAGCAGCAAACAATGAGCATAATGGAACGGGATTGGTAATAGATCGGCCCATCCGATCTACCACCACTGCCACCACTTCTGACTGATTACAATTCAGAGAGAACGAGAATTACTATAAAAGGATAAACGATAACAATAATTTCATTTGAAAGATTTTAATGAAGCTCTTTTGTGTTAGGCTTATTAATTGAGAAATATTAACACTTGATGCGAAAATACACTGAATCGATCGAAATGATTAATCAAATACAACACAGAAATTCCAAGAAAATTAAAACATGACAGGTGGCTGCCTTCATAGTGAGTGATGAAGAGTGAGTTCTACGTGTAATTTGTATTGCTGAGGATTTTTACGAAAGTTGCATTGATGACAGTCAGGCTTCAAAGGGGACAAATGGACACGTACATAATTATGTACATATTTCTTTCAAGATTACATGCGACGCACGATGAAATCCAAGTTGTAATTTTTAATGCAAATTACTTAGTATGAAATAGATTTTCTGCTAAAAGTAAAACCCTTGACTCGCAAACTAATAATGCTTTCTAACAAATAACGGGATTGCTAAATATTTCACTCCTTTAGTGATGAAATTTTCTCCTGTTACCAAAATTGGTGCATATTTTACTTTACTCCATATTTCTCGGTAAGGAATGTTTTGCAACAATTCTGCATTTTTCACTGCTCTTTGCAATATAGCAAAATTAAGTGCCTCGTTTAAAAAATGAGGTATTGAACGTGACCATTTGCATACATTTATCTAAATACGTTCACACTTTAGTACAATTCAAGAACTATTGATTTCCATCGTTCATCTCATTCCTCTCATCTCTTGGCTGCGTGTCACTCATGAATTTAGCTGTCGGATAGGAAATGACTTGATTCTCTCTTTACCCATTCAATTCGACGCTGCGAGTGTTCATGTACATTTTTGAGCAGTGCCGGCCCTCAAGTCAGAACAAACAATGGACATAATAATGTGTTGGTAAGCCTCGACGTAATCCTATAGCGAGCCGACCTGTCATGTCAAATTCGTAGCTAATCTTCGTCACGAAACATAATCACGTCGGCGAGCAAACCGTTCCTTCCTCTGGATCCTCATCTCATCTTCACAGCCACAAACGCAGAACGAGTGTGTTGATTCACCTCGATAGCGAATTACTTAGAGCAGGGAGACAAAGATGATGGATGTTGCACCAAATTGCGCTGATCTTTATTATTATTACTTCCATTGCCGTCCGTGTTATTACCTTCCAAAGATAATGCTTTATTAATGATACATCCACACGAGATGATGAGGTGGAGCTTAATTAGATTAAAGATTACATGCATGAACATTGGCTGGGTTTCTGGTAGTCGTTCGGCGGGTGCATATTTCGGCCAAAACAGCAATAATAATGCAAATAAGTATTTTGCTTGGTCTGGTGCGTGTAAATATGTAGAATCATGCGGTCTATGAACAAGACATTTCCGACAATACACGCTCTCACCGTGTACATGAATTAATTTTCAAGTGGTGTTTGTGGGTGATTGTAGGTAAGTTGTTGGTTGTGGGTGGCATCGTGATTACATGAGGCTCAGTGCAAATATGGGGGTTGTTTACTTACTCGAAATGTGGGAACGAGGACGAGAAACTGCTTATTAAAGTGCGGACACAGCCGTTTATATTTCCATCAAAGGTAAAGGACATTTCATTTAAGCTGAGTCGAGGAGATTAAGGCAGGATTGCATAATGTGGTGCAGGCTGGTTTTCATTAATACGCGGAATCTGCTTATGTATGAGCTTGATTAAACTCGGCAAGAAGTACATGCTTATGCACACACGTAAGTATTATGTGTCTATGTGGTAACAGGTTGGCGTCCACTCATTTTATTTGCTCGTTCCTCCTGTTAGCACGTACAATTTTGTAAAGTGAACGGAAATGCGAAAACTAATATATCTTTAATTGTTTTCTGTGCAGAGTCAAGTTTCTACAAAAATGGGTACGCTGCATAGGCCTTTTAAGCTGTATTTATGCAGCCAGTTACTGCCATTCACATATTCTTTGGCCATATTAACTTACAGAATAAATACAGAGGTTAAGCCTACTGCTGGGTTTTGTCGGATTTGCTTGTGAGTTACAACGACTTACTTATTTATCTTTAAAAAAGTCACTTAATTGCTGCCGTGCATAGAGTTGTGGGAGAGCAATGATAGCAAGCAGTTCACACAAGGAATTTATGATTTCCACACAAAGCTGCTCTTACCCGACGATTATTATCTCAGTTTGATACTTTTTCAGTTATTTATAAACTGATGTTTTGAATGATTACGGGGTTTACCGGCTAAAAAATGTAACCACGACTAGTTCAAATATAACACTTCCTTATTTTAATGAGCAGTCCTCCTAACTAACGGGCACTACATGTCATCCCAGCGTGCACTTGAATTTTGCAGGCAAATGTTCTTTAAGCAGGTGTGATAACTCCAATGACTTTGAAATACAGAAATAAATACAGAAATAAATACCTGAACGCTGCTGCAGCACATTCCGGCTCCTGACGGCACCATCCTTGACATTCGTGTAGCGATAGATTCCTTATCGAGTAGTAAGTATTTCCCCTATAGTCCAAATCTGACAATTTCTCAAAGCCAGTTAAACCTATGAAAAAGTGTCATTCATTGTTTACGTCTTACACAATATTCGGATTATGTTTCTCGTGTATTTACAGCATGATATGAAATAGGAATTTAAATACCCTTTTTCATTAAAGTGGTTCATGTTTTGTAGGTTGAAAATTGTTAGAGTGTAAACAGATGGAAAAGTCAAGCGTTATTTGTCATGTACAAAGTGTAAAGTATATCATACATAAATATTATACATTTAAGTATAGCGTGTAAACAGTCAAAAGTTACAAAAAGTCAAGTTCTACATAATAGCATGATATTAGCACCGTCAGCCTGCTACTCCTCTGCATAGCTTATGTACATAATTAATTATGTACGTACATACATTACACAACAAATGAAATGTGGAAATACTACGAGGACAAATAAGTAAGAAAGGATTTTGAGTTTTGACAGAAGTGCAATTAAAAAGAAGTAATTACTTGTTCTCAGGGGAAATGCTTTCCCTTTGGCTTTTACTGTTAATCCTTGTAAGAACAAAGTCAGGATTACATATAATGATCAGCAGGCAACAGGAGGTTGGTTAAGTGTGTGTCAATCAACCAGGTCGTCCAATCGTAAATTCGTCCAGAAGACAACACACAGAAGATAGGGAACAAGAACAAAGAGCAAAATAATCAAATTTATTAGCTGCTTAATCCACTCACAAATAATTTAACTATTCATGTGCAAACTAAATATATGGCTTCATACACGCTTCAAAGGTATATTTTACTGATTACTACGTAAAAAATATATTTTTTCCTTTAAACTAGATCGATCAACTCTACGGATAAGTGATAGGTTTTTCTATTACTATTGCACTACCATCAATTGTAAGTATAGATAATTAGCTAAGTACGACGTTCATTCTGTCCGTTGTAAAAGTGATCCATAAAAACATGATGTAATAACTAATCTGTCTAAACTGACATTTAATTCTAAAATACAAAATAAAATCGACATCTCTGAAATTTGCCATTGAAACTAAGGAATTCGTTTTTGGAAGCATTGAACTTGTCAGTTTTCAGTTCGCCTCCAGCAATCGACGTAAAAATTCACGACGAATTGAACAAATTGGGTACAAGCTTTACACCGCGCAGCTACATTTTCAACGCCAATTAACTGTTTTCAGTAGTTTTTGTTACCCGCTTGCTGTCAAATTTTGAATCGAGACTAGTTAAAACCCTCCTCAGAGACTACTCATTATCATCGTAGTAAAATATCTGTTGTAGTGTCGAACAGTGAAGTCCGTTTACTTGTTCACAGTCTGCTTGCTTTTATTACATTTCTTCATGGTCAGTTTTTGTAGCATTGAAAAGTAGACGCGATTGTTAAGTGTCATTTCATTTCATCACTCGCGTAAGTGGCAAAGTCGAACAAAATTAGAATGAAAATTCAGGACGCTTCCAAACAATAAAATTTCAACGAGGTTGTTTGAGGAAGAAGTTTCAACAAATGGGTTACTCACCATGAACTGCAGTAAATCCCAACAGCCCACAGCACAATAGGGCCAAGTTCAACAATCCTTTCGGGAACGTCATCTTCTGAAATTCAATAAAAGTTTATTTATTTGTAGAATTTTTTTACATTCATTCATCTCAAAAACACAATCCGAAATAGTTGGCAAAAGCTACATGCAGAATTTGGGAGGCAAATATACGTGGCAAAAATGACATGAAGAAAGCTCAACACTTCCAGTGTAAATAGCGGTAATGAATTGGTCTTGCTCGACTGAGTCTGTGAGAAACGAGAAATTTCACTGCACGAAAAATGAATAACCTTAATAATGCCATTGCAAATAAAAGAATCGAGTTCTGCCCGATCTATGTTGACTTTTGTATTCCCTAAATAAATAGATCATCGTGGACAGGACCATAAATTTAAGAAAAAACAGAGCAGCCAACATCACGAGGTTGGCTACTTGAATTGTGTAGAAAATCCTTATTTTTTGCTATGAATTGCGTCTCTTTAATACGTAACAACAGATTTCAAATTGCATGCAAGGACCTTCTCTTCAAAAATTCAGCCAAAATGTGTATGTAAGTATGTACAAAGTCTGATTCGGTATCATACACACAAGTGCTGAGCAATACAAGTACATTTAGTAAACATTAATTTAGATGAAGATTGAGAGCAAAATGGAATCTAATTTAGGAATTGGTGTCAATAACCAGTTCAATTACCAGGAGAATAAGGAAGGTGGAATAAAAGAGCATCTTTTTTTGCATACGAATTGAAGTACTTATGTAAATCTTGTGGTATTAATTCTTTTGGTGGATAACCTTATGAAATAGAGCCACATATGGTGCACCAACTTAATTCAATCTCAGAAAAAGTGTATAAAAATCAGCTTTATCAATTAAGCAAGAATAGCATATCCCCTCCAGCATACGGAATGACTGGGCTGTTGGTGTAGCAAATCGAATCGATTTTCTTTGCAAAATGGGTACCCAACACGTCGATTGATTATCGAAGGAAAAAGTATATTTTTCTGTGAAAAGTACATGCAGAAAAACTTATTTCTCGCGGCGTTGGTGTTTAATCATGACATTCGGGCTCTACACCCTCCAAATCAAAAAAACTATTTTCACGCGGAAGATGGGATCTCTTACCATGGAAGATTAAATGACGCGACATTTCGCTATTGATACTTTTTGCCAAGATCTACGTAGTTGTGCTAGCGTTCTTGTGCAGTGCATATTGCATATAACCCTTGGAGGTCTCTGTTGTGATGACCAAATACGAGATTAAACTAATAAGTAAGAATGGCAACCCGAGATGGGAAATATGTGATGTTGATTGCGAAAGATCAGATTGAAAGTACCAATAATCTGCTCTATCAATCATTCCTATAATCATTGAGTCCCTGTCTTGTATCATAAAAATTAAGACTTTCCACTCATCATCAATACAACATTGCCACTTTTTCTATACATGTTTAGGTAGATGTTTAGATGGCGAAAGATGATACTGATATAAGTGATATATAAAATAGATAGATATAAGCATATTATAATAACGATTTAAATGTGAATAAGAGTTGAATAATGAAAAAATGCAGATTTTTCGCATCCATAATTTTGTTCATCTACAACTGATGTATAAATATAAATGTAAATGTTATGCGCATTTCACAGAGGAAAGTACGAGTCCCAAAAGTTCTGTAGTACAGGTTGTCTCAAGTCAACCGTACGAATGTCATTCCACTTGCTTTACAGCATCATTTCCGATTACTGTGCTCACCCAGCCACCTCCAACCAAGACCAAATTGCATATAATTTGAGACAGTTCATTCGTTAAATATTATGCAAGTAGAAAACGGCAATGGATCCCTGTGGTATTATGCGTGAGGAAAGGTCATTCTCATAATAATGCGTGAGTGAGGGAGTAATATCCGCCAGTATTGAAGACTTCTTGACTTCCAACTCTGTCAGTGCTTACATCCGATGAAGACGTTTACCAGGTAGGGAAATAATAGTGAGTGTCAGGAACGGGCACTAATTCCTTATATGGAAAATGCCCACCAGTCATCCATTAAACCCATCAAACGCCTAATCAACTTTCTTCTTCCTCAATCCCATTCTTGATGCGCATTCGTATCACATCGTGACATATTTATTGAGTTAACTCAACCACAACCACTCAAGTTCAGAATGGAACAATGTGCTATTCACATCCTGTTAAATAACGCATCAAGATGATCCTGTTCGTCGATGATGTCGCTACATCTTTATGTTTCCTATTGGAGCTAAAGGACATTTATTAAAGTGGACATGCCAAAAAGATTGAACAAACGTTCGTAGTCACTTCACAGTTCTGTCTCAACCCGTATCAAGACTGGGAAGCAATTAAAACACCAGAAAACCGAACACATGACGGGTGGCTTCTTTTGAAAATTATAATCTGTTCAAACATTTATTTTAACTCGACAAAAGGAACAACATGAGAAAATGCACTGGCATTATTTTGTCAGTATGTTTACAAGATATTTGCTTTTCAGAATAGTTAATCACGCGAATGTGATAGTTGTAACTGCCCCCTCACGCCTATTTGTGTTTGGGTTGTTGCATAATATAATTTCTTACTTAATTTCCTATGTGTGTATATTCCGGAAGGAATTACATTTGTCCAAGGCCAATTTGAGACTTTTGTGTCCTATAATTTTACATTTCAAAGACGACGTAATTCTTGTGACTGCTTTGTCAACAAAGTTTTTTATTAGCATCAACACGAAACATTATTATGTACTTGCAGGGATGCAAATCTGGAATACAAAAATGTTGCTATTGCTAACTTTCGTTATTTAAATTGCAACTCATCCCAACCACTCTTGCAATTATTTCTATTGCCGTTGCTAAAATTTTCTCATGCATTGGGAAAAGATGTCTCATCTCGTGATTACGGGGGGAAGATATCATGATGGCGTAGGTAGTGATCTAATAGCAACGTTTACTACATACACCCTTTCGCACTGTTTTCTTCTATAATTTGTCACCTCTCTTCATGGAACATCTGTCTCGTCACTTGAGTTGAGACGCGCAGTGCAATTTCCTCATCTCACGTTGTAATACAACTCTTTTTAAACGATACGTTCTCCTAAATTCAAGCTCCCTTCAGGGTAAACCAACTCGGGTATAGTAAATAAGTAACACGGTGGGGAGAAAGGTTGTTGATGATGAGTTTTCAGGAGTACAGTGATCAAGTTTCATCGACCTCAAAAGAAATAAAAGAACTAAAGTAAGGAACACCAACACTTTTGAAATACATCTTGTTCGCTTTAAACAGTGCAACAATTGTGATGACAAACCTCCAAAAGTGATACGCAACCTGCTTTATTTTATGAAACATATTATAAGGCAATCACAAAGATGTCTTGTACAAGATGAGTCCACGAGTCATTGATAATCCAAAAGGTTACGGTTGACAAATAATGCGTGAAATTCGTAACCCTTCTGATTCGATGAAGGGTACGAAGCTGAAAAATGTGCAATTCTTTACTTGTCTCATGTAAGAATCCTCATTTTGTGTTATTCGTCATTTTACAACACCCATTTGCTTGTGCTTTCAATGTACTTGTATCACTATTTATTTATTTATTCAGAGTTTTCAGTCCGAAAAATAATATACGCACCTAAGTACGTACTTGGGGCAATGTCTCATCTTCATACAGTTAGATACAATCTAATTAGTGTCGGATCGAATCGAATAAATTTCGGTCAATTGACTTTAGCCTTGTTTGTTGTTGCTTTTAATCCCATGCCCATTCTGATTTACTCACAATGCACAAATGCTGTCTCACGATTAGGAAGTAGACTTTCCAACCAGCTCCAAAAACAACCAAACACCTTAGACTCATCACATGCACCTCTCAACAATCGACTGAAATTAAGACTTGTAACGCTTAAAAACGTTGGTAGGGGCGAAGTACAGAAGAACATGGAACCTGTAGAACAGGAACTGATGAGAAGAATGAGTTTCTTGGATTGTATATCCGCGTGGGATTTTTCAGCCCTGAAAAGTCTTGTCTTTGTCAGTGCATGAGAAATTCGAAAGAAAGCTGCTAGTTATCTCATTATGATATTTGTAAAAACGCTCCCATTCATTTCTGGATAGACTTTTTTCTGCCTTTCATAATCATAACCCAGCGTGAAATAAGTGCTCCTGTACAAAAATAATATCATAAAAATGCTCGTAAACTATTTATTGCTCAAGTATATGTACATAATTTACATTGCATTATTAAATATTTTTTCAACAAATGCCATCATTATTTCATAAAAGCATAATGCTTCTTCTTCACTTTTGCTGCGGATGTGTAACCAGTCCATCATGCAGTTTGATGGCTTACAACTACATTTTGTCTATTGTTTCGCATGCATTAATTGCTATTCTGTCCTAATTAATTAAGTTAGCAGAGTTCGTATGTACTTTCCTTGTAGATAATCATCTGACATAATTTTACAGCACACAGCAATATGTGCACAATTAATATAAAAATAAATTGAAATGATTAATTCATGTCCACACTAAATAAACCACGTTTGCCACTCCCCTGACTTATGCACTTAAAAATTAATCCCAAGAATAAGCCAATGAATTAATGTGGTAATTTTTTAGACAGGAAAAGAAAAGTTCAATCTGAACTCGGGTAATTCTGACGGACTTACTAAACGAAGAATAATGAAGCCGTAAAGTTCAAAGTGCTAATGAGCAGTGAATTGATAATAACAAGAAGCAGCAGCCCAAAAAATAAAAAAACTTGTGAAACAGAGTTGATGTAATATTTATGTAAGTGTTGGACATGGGGCAGTCCGACCAATTTATATTTTTTGGGTTGCTAGTTCAACTCACTCAGTGTTGGTACTAATTGCTAAAAATTACTGGCTCGTTGGGCCCTAAACATGCGTTCACTAATAATAATACGTGTATCTGTAGCCAACGTTAGCGAACAGGGGATCCAACGTGCAGTATAAAGTTATTACTCTTCCGTTATGTTTAATTCGAAATGGTTTATAGTTTAGGAGATGCTCCCTTGAAACAATTGCTGGTAACTCCTCTGCTACTCGTGTGTGTGTGCTTTACTACGAGATTATTAACTGCACAGAACTCTGCTGCATTGCAAGGTGAATAAACACTCAAAACATTTTATTGCTTTTGCCTGCATTAAAATGAAATGGTTACATTAAAATCTTTTTAGTATGGTGGGCCAGGGAGGTTTGAAACTTAAATCTTCTAAATGCAGGGTTAGGTGCTCATGCATAAATTGTAATTGTGCGCGAGTGATGCGGTTCAGTTTCAACATTTTCAGGAAATTGTGCACAAGTTTGACTTTGTCTTGAGATTTTGCCTCCTACACTACATGTAAACTTTGTACTTGTGTATTTGTAGGAATGAGAAATAACGGTATAGTGCAAAAATTTGGTGACCCCGGTCTCCATCGAAGGAAACATTTCCCGGTATAGCCCCAGACGTACTCCTTTGTACTACGCGACCACCATATCAATGCACCCGTCAAATCTCACTCATACTTTTCTTCCCCACATATTTTGCTGTCGGCTCTCAAGTTCGACGTAACATTTTGTGGTCGAATTTACTCGAGTCGTGAGATTTGGGAAAGGAGAGTAATTAAAATGACATGCTACGCTTACAATCTTGTCATCTTAAATTGACTAGATTATTATCCCCTAAAAATTCCACACAGTTTAAGTGTAGAAATCCTCCTCCGTCAGCGAAAGGTTGGACTGTGTATTATGACTGTGTAGCAAAACATTTAAAAATCTTACGTTTTGAAAGATGCCTGCAATTATAGAAAAAAGGACACTAGAGTTCCTCAACCCTGCTCCTTGTTCGGAATGACGGAGGAATTTTATACGCTAATATTCGCCATGATGCAACTTAAGCCGGTATTTTTATGCTGTTTGCCTTAATAACAAAATTTTTAACATGAAAGTATTTAAAGATCGGGCGGGTTTATCTGAGCACTTTCCAACTGACAAAGGCATGTCTGGCAGCACGGACAGCTAGCAAATCGAAAGTTAATGATGCAAATAAAAATATTTGATTCTGCTTCCGGCACCGGCTTTTACACGTACACACAAACGCTTAACATTGCACCACGGTAAGTCAATGACAATAACGCGATTAGAGGATGACACAGCATCCAAGTGTCAGATTCATTCCAACGATTCAGCTATTTTCCAACAACATATTATGACGGACATTGTTTATACGAATGCGGCTACTGTATTTTGCTTTAAATACCAAAAGTCCAGTCTATCCCTCGTCTATCTAATCGTCCAACGTGTCTCTGCTAATTATTGTTAAAAATTTAAGACTGAAACAATATTCTAATAAGTCTTCTTCTACCTAAGAATTGGGCAACAAAGGAACTGGAAATTCTACGCACACACTAAATTAAATAAGTCCAAGAAATGTGAAATTAAGTGATCATACACACAATCAGTGCGGATAATCTTTCTCTGACGGCTGACCTACCGTTTTCCACATCCATCTCATTACGCACACGTTATACTTTTAAACGGTGAACGGGATTTCTTAAATTGTTAATAAAAATGATAATCTTAAACCGCAATCCTTCTCGAATATCTCGTAATTGGCGGATCTGAATGCGTGTTACTTCGTAATAATGGTAGTGGGTTATCTCATCAAATTGTACTCCATTGGCACACAGAGTGGCACGTCTTTTTTTAATAATAGGAAAAAACAAGAAAACGAATGAGAGCTCTGTTTTTGATGAAATTTCAGAATTGCAACCATCCTACTACTTCACTTCCACTTATTTAACCACCACCTCTAGTTTCCAAATTATTATGCATACGTACATACATATTTGAAACATTTACGTAATAGTTGCATCCGTTCTCGACGAGCTCGGCACCTCTCAAGTGCAATTCGACTACCTTGGAAAGGTCAACTCTTCCACAACAGGAGAGCAATTTCTTACACGAGATTCTCATCCATCAATCATCTATCGGGCAGCAATCACGAAATAAAACCCGTAATGTAGTTTATACGTACATGTCCCAACTAATATGCTCGTTCTAACAATTTCAAAATTATTTTTCACATCATATTCCAACTCATTCACCTTCATATAATATTTCGCTACTATGAAATAAATCTAATTATGCAGTTTTGTAAACTGGGGTGAAATATTTAGGCTGTTTATATCATCTGCAGTATTTTCATGCAAAATGAAATGTAAATTACAATCCAAACAAGATGGGCAAGTTAAAAACAAATCGTGATGTGCAGTTGATATCAGAATTTATTACTAAAAGTTTCAAATTATTAGAACCGTAAATTCATTTCCGACTAAAGGAAATAGTCAAAGGTAATGTTATCAGGTATCAGAATGAACTCAACCTTTGCGGTTCCTTTCCATATACCCCGATCCAATTTCCTTTGATATCTATGCACTTTGCACGCATACATACATACACAAACTAGCCAAATGATTTGAATATTGTTTGTTTGAATCTGTATTATTTCTGAAATCTAATCTATGAGGGATCGCAAATTAGATCCGGTTCTTCTCCCAACGAACAGTTACAAGTTAAGCAATGCCAAGATTATTATGAGATGATTGATTTCCTTTGTATTAAATTGTAATCAGAATTTTTACGTCATCCAAATAACATCCTTCCTCGACCAGATCACATATTCATGCAAATGACAACCCTTATTACAATTTTAATGTACGTGCATATATAGTTATTGTGCACCTAATCTATGGGTAACCTGTGTGTAAATTCTAGACTCGAATTATGATCATTTCAACTACATCTATGCACTTATTTAGAAGTACAACATGATAGAAACATATTGTTTAATATTTTTGAAATAAATATTTTTTTACTGAAAATAAGTGCTTCAAATTTCCGCTGCTTATGTTGTTGAACGTAATTTTACGTGTTGAATGAACTTGGTTTGTTCTGTGAATCATGACGACGACTTGTGCGGTTTTGCTGTAGGGATGCAAATATCTCATGCATTCCTGCTGCACCGAAACCAAATTCATTTCCTGTCTTTTTGAAAATATTGCAAATGAAATCATGACTGGAGTCCTGATATTAGAATCGTATGTCATGCATTAATTTTAATATCACTTCTTTGAATTTCTCTCCCATAAAAAGACCACAAGATCCAGGGATAAAAAATTAAATCACAAAAATTTGATTTTTTGTCCCATTGTTATTCTTTTTATGCAGTGACTCGTCATTATTTCAAGCATCAACCTGATCTTGCATGAATGTCTCATATGTGAAAGAATTGACAGTCGAGGAACTTGGCTCACCTTTCTTGACGGGAAAAGGACTCGCAAAATTAATTTCCTAGAATCTGCTAATGCCATTTCCCTGTGCTCATCATTGTCATTAATTTTTTTGTCTTTCTTAAGCACATCTTTGAAATATTATTTGGGAAAGGCGAGTTCCATGTGTGTGGTATTTTTCATGAGACTTTTTGGTAATATGATGGTTTCTTCTGGATGGAAGCAATCCATTATCTATCTCTTCCTCCTTGCATGAAATTCCATATTATCTTCCCCATAATCACAGTAAATTCCGAGTCTAAAACTCACGAATTTTGTAACAATGTATTGCACAGTGCATCTGATGGAAGTGGTGGTGCCATTGTCTCCCATTAATAACAAATTTACTGCATAATTCAGCAATTTGCACAGCCTTTAAAGATTGTTCCCCTCCTCGGTTAAAGGTGTGTGAGTATAATAATAGATTTTTTGTGGACTACGGGTTTATAATTTCTGAATAAGCTGCTTCTATCGAGCAATGCATTTTAGTTCTGTGCAAATTCTGATGTATGACCAGGGTCAAGCTCAGCCCTTATGTAAAGTAGTTATATGCAATGAGCCATTTTTGTCATTTATCCACCAATTTTCCAGTCGATAATCATCAAGTGTTGAACCATTAAATCCCTTTATGCTTTATGATGCATCCCCTACAAATAGTCACACTATAGCGGAATGAGAAGCAATTGGCCAAACTTAACTACCGAAATCTTCAACCATCATGCATCGTCGTCGCAAGGTTACCACGCAGCCCATGCAAAATCGTCCACCACGAACGCACGCAGCCAACAAGCTATTGCCATCGCTGTTGTTTAACACCGGTTTCATTCATGAGAAATATCCTCTGCTCTAAAGAAACATGCATGCATTCCATTCTACCAAAATAAACAAAGCAACCGGTGCTTACCTTATTTTGAGTACCAGAGTGATTGACTGAAGTGAATTGTAGTGGTAGGTCGTCAAGTTTTTGCGAGTGATAGAAAATCCAATTCCACAAATTAGGGTAATTTTCGACGAAAAAAGTTCACACCAAACCCTCGTGGTATCGAGAACGGTTGTTTCTTCTTTTTTTATAAACTACACATTTAGAATTTATGTATGGTTCTTATTATGACGAGAAGATGTAGTAAAAATGACACGACCAAGTTCCAAACCCGTATTGACTCGTGTGTTGTGTCAGCGACCACTGCAGTTGAATTGACGTCCTCAGTTGACTTCCCCTCAAAGACTGTCGGAAATTTAGATCCGAAGAGATTTAAGAAGGTCGAAGCGTTGAAGAAGAGCAACTGAAGGTGTTCAAGTTCTTTGTCAAGGATTATATCACAATAAAGGATACGGTTTATTCCGTAATAACATCTGCACCTCGGCAAGACGGGAGATTTGCAAACTGCAGTGAAACCATGCCAAAGACGAGGGAGTATCATCGTGTGCATGAAATAGCGTTGGCATGAACATGAGAAAGAATCAACCTGCTGCAGCAGTCCAATCTATTGCAATATCAATGCCAAGGTGGCAAGATGATGGTACAAGCACATAAGTACTGCAGTCAAAACAGGAAGGGAAACGATTTGCGAGTGCGAATCCACATTTATTGGGTGGAAGAAGAAAAAGAGGACGGTGAGCGAGTGAAGAAGGGGTTTAGGAAGTAAACTCGGATTGCATGCAACATACTTTACTACACATCGCAAAATAATACGGTGAGCCAAATGCAACACCTCTCTCGTCGTGGAAGAAGACCCATCAGACTCCAACCAAACCACCTCGTCGTCGTCGTCGTCGTTTTACCGAGGAATTGTTGAGAAGCAATATACGGAGCTAATGCTGGCTTCAACCACCCCCATCGTCACAAACTAACATTACGCTATACAGAGACATACATACACGACTTGCATTGCATTTTGTGCAAAAATTTCACCAAGCACTAAGCGTTTATTGTCTACTCTGCACACAATGCAACACCACAACTCGCTTCCCATGCGAATTGTGTATCAATGAAACCATGCATTGTGGTGTCGTTTCAACTTTGCAACTTTGGTTATGGAACTCTTCAGTTTACCACAACCAACACAACAATCCTTGCATGGATTTGCTCTGCCCGCAACGTCCCGTTAACGCAGCGCAATTGGATGGAATGAGGGGAAAATATATCATTGTCTTCATCTTTTAGGGTTTCAGTCTTTACAAAGTTCGAGACGTCCTATTGTCAGGGAGCCAATTGTGTCTTGCTGGGAGTAAGTAAAATGCAACGTCTAAATGATGAAGACCGAGATGGTCTTCTTGAAATAATAGTTACCGAGAAGAAGAAGAAGAAGATGTACATGGCACACAAGAGAATCATGCAGCATCACGGTGCAAGGATTCGTCGACTTTAATTAGCTACCTGTTCCTACGTACTTTGCATTCAAGGATCCAATGACTTGCTTGACTCAGATGCATATTATCTGTCACATTTGACATATCGCCGACACCGGGGAATGATATTGAAGGGTTGATACCTCTAAATGGCAATGGAGTAATTATGTAGATTCTTATCAACGTAAGACGGATCCAGCTTCATTTGACTCATAGTGACGACTGCATTGTATTTATCACTATTTTAATAGAACTAACTGCTACATTGGCACATATTTAATGGATGCTTAAGAGATAGAAAATGGAAGCTGTGATTTGATAAATCAGGTAAATTAGGGAAAGAAACCGGCCGGCATACCTCATTTACTTGTCGTGTATCTGCACGTTATCAGGCATAAATATGATACTGATTATGGTGATGGCTCAATTTTGCGTGACTTTCTTGTTAATAATCGGTCACTAGTGTATGAATATAAGATATTAAATACAAGAGGTCTACGGTGCTATTGACAGGAAATAACTTTGCTACATTCGTGCAATCTTGTGTGCGAATCTTGCATCCGACTTTTCCGATCACGAAGAAAGTTTAAGCTGAATTCGGAGAGTTTACAGTTTTGCAAACGGTTTATACCATTCGGTTTGAACGAGTAGTTATCCAGATTGCCTATCATAATCGCATATCATATCCAAATATGTAAATATATAACGCCCTGACTTCTCACAAAGTTCAGACCAAAGGGGAGGTTAGTAATGCTTAACAGCACTTGTACCACCAATTTGACCTGAGAAAATATCGGTATAACTGAAGATAATAGTAAATTTCTGCAAGCATTCGTGAGTAAAACTAGTCGTAAATAAATGCTACTGAGTTTGTTAAACGAGTTACGAGCTAAAAATAATTTACATTCTTTGTGAACCTCTTCTAACAAAGTTTGTCAAATGGGGAATTTGATTCGCCCTATTAATGCCATTGAGACAACTTACTTGGTAGTAAAGCAATTTTTCGCCTGGCATTTATTGAGTGGGGCTGCAATTTGAATGCAATGTCGAATGTTCACACTATCAAATGTAGCACATTCATAGGAGGTCTTCTTCTCTCTATTTGTGTAATTCTCAATTCACGAAAGCTCCCATTGTTGACTCATCTAAAATCTGCTACGTTTATGCAGACCTTGATTCAGACGACTGTCGATTCTTAAATAACACACTAAGCCAGCACATTTGGGTGGGTTTTCGTCATCACTCTTGTCACTTCTAAAGCGTCCTAGAAAACTGACAAATGCAGTCTAAAGTAGATAATGAATTGACACAAATTTATTAAAATTATTGGTGCAAGTCTGAACACACAAATCTAAACATGCTGGAATGCTGAAAATGCTGATGCAACGTTATTTATCTTACAGATATGAAAAAACATATTTATTATTAAACCTTGTTTGTTGTGGATTAAAAATTTGTAGAAATATCATCTCGTTGACACTTTAAGATCATATGCAATCGCTCACGTTATACGAGTATCTGCATAAGATAGGCATAAGAAAACTCAATATTAGTGGGGTAGACGATTACCTTTAAAAGTTTTAAATTGAATGTTTAGCCATGCAATAATTGGCAATATAGTCTTGCTCCAAGTGCTGGCAGAAAAGTCTGAAAGCACTGCCTCACGGAAGAACACTGATCTTATACAAATGAAAGAAGGGCATGCATTGTTGATCAAAGATAATGAAAAAATCCCCTCAAATCGCAAAGTCACGGTAGCAGTTATTTATTCGCTATTCGCCAAAAATGTAGAATTTTTATTTAAGGGAGAACATGAACCCCGATTTCCAATTAAAATCAGCCTACCTGTTTGCTCAGCTTATCTCTTGTCTGATTCCTTTATTCTCTTAATACTGTATCTTGCGTCTCAATTATGACCATGTGTGTGCATGTGTTAAATCTGTGGTTTGATAACCTATCAAATTTTAATGAAATGTTGAGCACCGACAACCGATTGGCCATCAATGAATTGCACAATACAAGAACAATAATATTTAATTAACTTATCTCACAAGTAACCAAAACAAGAATGATGCTAAATTAACGTTTCATCAGGTTTTTTTAATTGATGATTTAAGTTCCTCGATAATGTACGTTACATGCATATCAAAAAAATTATAAAATAATTCATACGCAAGTATCAACGACGCTGCACATTTTATAGTACGCAAGAAATAGTAAATACATACATAGTAGCGATTGAAAGAGATTGAATTCTCATCATCCACGAGCTATTCATGTCAAAGGATATAATACAAGGAAAAATTTGGGAGTGAAAAAATCATAAGCAATAGTCAACAAGCAACCAACAGGATCAGTAGCACCTTAATAATCTAACGCGATTCAAAAATAACTGACTGATTGACCTACCTATCTTTCGGACACAAGATAAACATTTACAGTTTTGGTTAGATTGGTTCGACTACTTTTGCCCGTCTGGATAAGCACCAAAGCTTTTAATAAAATGAAACAGGTGGGTGATTACACGAGACCCATTTTCCACCAAAAGACCTCTCCTTCCACCACAACTTATTTAGATACTTTACACACACATTCATTTCCTAGACTCGGGTGCGTTTTGATTTAATTTGGCACGGATTGTACCTCAGTCTGTGCAGTCGGAGGATTATTTTTTAGTAGTAACAGGTAGATAAGTTTATGCATAGAATGAGACTGTTTGCGTACAAGCAGCGTTAGAAGTATGTAGGCAAGAAAATGCGAATGAATTGTGGGTTAGGTTTACTTGAAGAAGGAAGTTTTTCAAATCGCATCTTTTTTTTTCTTTTCTTTTTACAGCACGTTATCACCATCCTTTCCATTATTTATAGTATAAGGTAAGCCTTATATTCTCAAATTTTCGTCATCACCACCTCAAGTGTGATATACGTTATGAACACAGCAGTGTGTGCTTGTTATGGTTCATGTGTGTTTGCAAACAGTTAAATAAACTTTTCACTCCTGGTGTTCTCCTTATTTTTTCTGTTGCTGTTTCGGATTTGATCACGCAGATGTTATTTAAGAGTGGATTATAAAAATCTTCTCAAAATGGGATGAATCTGACCCTTTTTATGAGCAATGTCGGTTAAATAAACTCAACATGCTATTTGTACCTCATGAGAAAATACTTACTAAATATGTCTGTCTTTTTACGTGTGAATCACGTTAGTAAGCTGATCAATCGACTGTGACAATCGTAGCCTCAATTTGATTTAAAAATTCAAAATTCGGTCATGGCATAAAATGACGTTTTATAAAATAAATTATTATTACATGCACACGACACATCGGTAAAAATCCACATGGGTATTCTTCTAGAAGCCCACTCTACAGTACTATTATTAATAAGAATGAGCATCTTTACAATTTTTAGACACGTTTCATAATAATCTTCCGATGACATAAGTTCGTGCCTGTATTTTTAGCTTTCTGTTACTTTGTACATGGTAGTGACACCTGCTAAAAGCAAGGTGGTTACAATACAGTAATAGCCAAGCGTGAAATTTAGGGTGGAATATGCGCTGACCAAAATAACAAGGACATTTGTGACAAAAGGACGAGTACATGGGTAGATTCTATTGGCTTAAATTTGCATGTTATTTCGCCTTCGGATTTGGTTTGATCCGTTTGTCTCCGGATTAGATCAAGTACCGGTTCGTCGCTGGGTATTATTTTGAAGCATGGTAGCAAAACAAGGTGTAGAAGCGAGTTTTCGATTTGGGACGGAACGAGAAAGGAGCAAAATCACATGCACTTCTTCTTGCTTAGAAAAGTGCTTGTGGTAACCAGGCTCACAGCAGTCATACAATAAATCATGAAATCTTTCAGTAAGTAAAGTAAACGGATAAAAAAATATGCCCAAGAAATGGAAGCGTTTACTTAACCTAAAGAAGACAACGGAAAGGACA